TTACAATCATTGACGTTGTTTCCGTGCCCGCCGAGGATTGTATGAAACCGACAGAAACGCTTACCGCTTATAGTAGAGTGGTCCACGGAAATGTACAATTTAAAACCCATACAGTTCTTATTTGTGGGGCTAAACAGTGATGAGGAATGTTCCCGAAGTAATTCTAAGCGGACACGCGTTTCTCGGCAAATCTACGCTAGCTTTAGCGACTAGCTCCATGTGCAGGACATGTGCATGGGCGTGGTTTCCTCCTCTCTGATTTTGATTGATGGCTAGCAGTGTAGTCTGATTGGCAACTGAGTAAAGAACGAATGTGATTGGTGGATCGCTGCACAGCACATGCAGAGTCACATGCAGTGTATCTCAGCCATCTACCCTACGATGGCCCAATTCCAAACCACCCCCTCACTGACTCATTGACTTAGGTGCGCGCTCATGTGAGCTCTGTAAGGGCTTGAGGGTTGTTCCAAATGAAATCGGTAAGTCAGCGAGGGCTCGGGAACGCCCCTTTCTGCACCCTTTCCGTAAGTCCGTACCGTTGGAGACTTTGGCTGTGTCTCATTTCAGAGACCGCATCGTGATAAGCGCGCTTAACGGCGCTTAGCTGAGTGCACTGCCGTTTTGAGCCGTTTTACGCCGTTTTGCGCCGTTCTGTGCCCTTCCTGTGTCCCATTTTAGATACAGCAGCCATCGAACGGCGCATCTGACGCGTACGTGAGGTCACCACGCGGCACGAACGGTGTCCCGTTTGGCACAAAATACTAAGCGCGCTTCAAATTCGGTCTCAAAACCACACTACCCCCGCCTCGTTTTCAAGCGTGCATGTATGCACGCTTTCGTGCCGTCGGTATCCCAGAATTCTTTGCGTGCCGCTGCACAGCTGTGCATTTCAGGTGAGAGGCTGGACTCGCTTGGAGACACAGCGCGTCTTCGAAGAAAATACAAGCAATCCAAAACCATCAGACAGTCAGCTCAGGCTGTATGAGAGCATGATCTCTGAACTCACTAAAATCTGTAAACCAAACATTATAGATTTAGAGACGAACTGATCCGCTGTGTTACAACTATCAAAAACATTAGAAATGAGAAAGCTGACAAAACTACAGCAGAGTATCAGGACAACATTGAGGGTTTTTTTTCTTTTAAGATTTAGAGATTAAAGTTGTAAATTTAGGAGAATAAAGTCATAAAGTAAATAAAGTCATAAAGCTGCTTTTGCGGAGGGGGAAATGACTGAAGCTGGTCATCTGCAGGGTTATCTGTGGATGTATCAGCGGGTCATTAAGAGAGATTTTGTGGTTTCTGAAGAAACAATCAAACTGATGATAATCAACATTTGTGATCCAGAGGGAGTCGAGCTCCGACGAGCACCACGTCTCTGACACCGGCCGTAGCCTACACCTGCAGAGACACCAACACCTTATTACGGCATATGGATTCATATCATAAACTAAAGCTCAATGTCATTCACGGATATTAACGGCTGCATTGACAGATATATCCTCAGCATATTCATTTCTGCCTCCACAAAAGCAGCGATTTCCTTCAAGTACACCAATATTTTTCCCCCGTGGAAAAGACGTATTTCTCATATATTCTTTTTAAAGTCTTTATACTTATGACAATGTTATGCTGATGTGCCAGAGGATGAAGAATCTCCTTGTTTGTGAAACCTATACTGAAGCACAGTTCCTTCAAATGCTTCATGGCCCTAATTTTAACAGGTCTCTCTGAAATAACAGGTTATGACTTCATTCTCATAAATTAATGACTTTATTCTCGTAAATTCACGACTTAAATCTCGAAGTCCTTAAAGTCTTAAATCTCAATATGGCCCTCATACTCCTTCTTACAAAACAATCATTGGATGAATTGTGCTTGTATGTATCTACTATTTTGTGTCTGTGCAAGGTCGCACAATTAAAACAATAAATGCTGCGCTCCGCGGGTTTCCTTTTAGTCAGTCGTGACGCGAGCCTGAGGGCGGGGACATTTGGCAACTCCACCAGGAAGTCCTCCGAAGGTCTCCAAATGTCCCCGCCCTCAGGCTTACGTCACGACTGATTAGAAAAAAAGCTGCGGAGCGCAGCATGTATTGTTTTAATTGTGCGACCTTGCACAGACACAAAATAGTAGATACATACAAGCCCAGATCATTCCCACAAAATTAATCCAATGATTGTTTTGTATGAAGGAGTATGAGGGCCCTATTGAGAAGGAGGATAGGAGATACTTCATCCTCTGGCACATCAGCATCACATTGTCATAAGTATAAAGACTTTAAAAAAAGAATATATGAGAAATACGTCTTTTCCACGGGGAAAAAACTGGTGTACTTGAAGGAAATCGCTGCTTTTGTGGAGGCAGAAATGAATATGCTGAGGATATATCTGTCAGTGCAGCCGTAAATATCCGTGAATGACATTGAGCTTTAATTTATGATATGAATCCATATGCCATAATAAGGTGTTGGTGTCTCTGCAGGTGTAGGCTACGGCCGGTGTCAGAGACGTGGTGCTCGTCGGAGCTCGACTCCCTCTGGATCACAAATGTTGATCATCATCAGTTTGATTGTTTCTTCAGAAACCACAAAATCTCTCTGAATGACCCGCTGATACATCCACAGATAACCCTGCAGATGACCAGCTTCAGTCATTTCCCCCTCCACAAAAGCAGCTTTATGACTTTATTTACTTTATGACTTTATTCTCCTAAATTTACAACTTTAATCTCTAAATCTTAAAAGAAAAAAACCTCAATGTTGTCCTGATACTCTGCTGTAGTTTTGTCAGCTTTCTTATTTCTAATGTTTTTGATTGTTGAAGCAGAGCGGATCAGTTCGTCTCTAAATCTATAATGTTTGGTTAACAGATTTTAGTGAGTTCAGAGATCATGCTCTCATACAGCCTGAGCTGACTGTCTGCTGTTTTCGGATTGCTTGTATTTTCTTTGAGGATGCGCTGCGTCTCCAAGCGAGTCCAGCCTCTCACCTGAAATGCGCAGCTGTGCAGCGGCACGCAAAGGATTCTGGGATACCGACGGCACGAAAGCGTGGATAAATGCACGCTTGAAAACATGCTAAGCGCGCTTAGCATTTTTTAGCATCTCGTGCCAAACGGGACACCGTTCGCACCGTCGTGACGTCATGCACACTTCAAATGCACCGTTCGACGGTGCAGAAGGGCACTTAGGTCGATGCGGTCTCTGAAATGAGACACAGCCTTTGGCTATGAAATTGCCCACAATTCATTGCGTTGTGGGCGTTACTGGAGGACGCCGACGCAGCCGGGGCCAGGATTTAAAAAGGAACGAGGGAATCATCCGCGACAGACACCAAAAATGACGGAGATCATGGCGAAGAAGCTCAAGAAGTAGCAGTTCATTCAGGATCTAGGTGCACCCTTAATACTCTAACATGGATGTTCCGCATCGTGTATGGTGGGCGTGTGTGTGTGTGTGTGTGTGTGTGTGTATGTATATATACATACATATATGCACACACATACACACACACGCATGCGTTATTCTTCTAACAAAGAAAATTGATTTTTACTTCAAACTTTTATCTGAATCAATACATTTTATCCTGAACTAACACTCTAAAGCAGTGATTACTTTCAGAATCTAGTGCTTCAACCTTTTAACCATTCAAAATCACTTAACCTATCATTAATGCTGGTTTTATAATTTATCAATCTAATCATTATTTACCAATTACCTGTTGTCTATGTTCAAGAGCAAGTGCGTGCAAAAGGAGCGGAACAATGTTGGCCTTTCTTCTGCAACGTCGCTGGCCGCGAAATAAATGCAGAATTAAGAGCCCAGAGAGGCAAGTGTCAGTCGCATCTTTGGTTGTCAACGTTGTCGTCTATCGTCAAGGTAACGTGGCACGTCACAAAGGGCTGTTCCATTGGTTTTATACCCTTTTGGAGCCCTTAAACCCTCCCACACTCAAGCACTTACCAGCTGACTTAACCTAAGCTAATGAGGGTGCAGGGCTTGAGGGCTTAGGGTGGAGTTTGGAATTGGGCCGATATATCGTGCGGCCTTCTTCCAAATTAGTTAGAAATACATATAAATATAAAGTACACTAATATAATAATATATTCTGGAGTAGATTTTTGCTCCAAGTTCAAACTGAGAAGAACTTGATCTTGTTTATTAATATTATTTCCCCATGAGGCTTGAAAAAAAAAAAAATCTTATTCCCTCAAAAAGTGGAGCTTTGATCAGTTATTTAATCAGGGTATCAGGATATTGAGGTGTATAAAACACTGTCATCTGTAAAAAAGCAGATTTTATGAGAGGGAACTGAGTTTAATGTGAGGGATGTTGGTACAATGTTGACTAGACTAAACTAAACTAAATATTTAATTTGTTAACATCTATGATAAAAAAGTTAAACTATTATTCCTTTTTATGTGTGTGTGTGTGTGTGTGTGTGTGTGTGTGTGTGTGTGTGTGTGTGTGTGTGTGTGTGTGTGTGTGTGTGTGTGTGTGAACCTCCAGCTGCAGCCGTCAGTTCTGTTTCAGTTCAGTCTGACTGAGGGAGGTTTTTGTACGATGCTTTTTCACTGTGTGTACATACGCTGACTGTTGGGGTAGTGAAAACTCTTACAGTAGTAAACTGCTGCATCTTCAGTCTGGACTCCACTGATGGTCAGAGTGAAACTAGATCCAGATCCACTGCCTGTAAAACGACTTGATATCCCTGATGCTCGACTGCTAATAGCATAAATGAGCGGTTTAGGAGATTCTCCATCCTTCTGTTGGTACCAGTATAACCAGTTGCTATACACATTCTGACTGACACTACAGCTGATCTGTACGTTTCCTCCCAGAGTCATTTCCATAGAGAGTGAGTTTGCATGAGCAGCAGCATGCTCCAGTGCCCTGGGAGACTTTATAGTCCTGAGAGTTGAAGACTGGATGACTGACAGCTGTCCTTCATCACAACAGAAGACACAGAAATCCTCCTCCTACTCCTCCTGATCAGAAACATGACTGTGATCTGCGTCCTCATCTGGACTCTCCTCTGCTGCTGCTTCACAGGTAAAGTCCAGAGAATCCAACTCCTCTCCTCTATGAACATCCGTCCCTCTGAAATGAAGCCCACAAAACCATGACGCTGCTTTCTGTGTTTGTCTCTGTATCCTCAGAGTCCAGTGGACAGGTCACAGTGGCTCAGCCTGCAGCTGTGACCTCTGCTCTGGGAGGAACCATCACCATCCCATGTAGGACCAGTCAGGATGTGTTTGTTTATAACAACAACCAGCGTTTAGCCTGGTACCAACAGAAGGACGGAGAAACTCCTAAACTGCTCATTTATGAGGCTAGCACTCGATACTCAGGGATATCAAGTCGTTTTTCAGGCAGTGGATCTGGATCTAGTTTCACTCTGACCATCAGTGGAGTCCAGACTGAAGATGCAGCAGTTTACTACTGTAAGAGTCAACACTACATCAACAGTCAGCATGTGTTCACACAGTGAAAAAGCGTCGTACAAAAACCTCCCTCAGTCACACTGAACTGAAACTGAACTGACAGCTGGAGGTTTCTGAAGAGACTGACACATTTCAGTGAAAACACACAAACACAAAGATTTCTCTTTAACTCTCATCATCCATTTCACTTCAAACAGTGTCTGTAGCTCTGCTGTAGATTGAACTCCTTTCATTCAGACAGTTTTAGATTGATCCCAGCTTCTCTGACACACAAACCTCAGTGTCAGACTGAAGAGCCAAAAATGCTGTAGAGGGCTGAGTTAGTATTTATGAATGTGTGAAGGTTAGAAAAGTACTGATAATACTGTCCAACACTCAGCATGTCCCCCTCGGCCCTCTGTGAGTGAATCTGATTAAATTTGACAAACAGTCTTCAAGTGCTCTGTGGTGAGTTTGCATGAGCAGCAGTTACCATATTTAATATGTTAACATTGATGATAAAAAAAGTGAAATTATAATTACTTTGTGTGTGTGTGTGTGTGTGTGTGTGTGTGTGTGTGTGTGTGTGTGTGTGTGTGTGTGTGTGTGTGTGTGTGTGTGTGTGTGAACCTCCAGCTGCAGCCATCAGTTCAGTTTAAGTTCAGCCTGACTGAGGGAGGTTTTTGTACGACGCTTTGTCACTGTGTGAACACAGGCTGACTGTTGGGGTAGTGAAAACTCTGACAGTAGTAAACTGCTGCATCTTCAGTCTGGACTCCACTGATGGTCAGAGTGAAACTAGATCCAGATCCACTGCCTGAAAAACGACTTGATATCCCTGATGCTCGAGTGCTAGCGGAATAAATGAGCAGTTTAGGAGTTTCTCCATCCTTCTGTTTGTACCAGGATAAGTCAGTATTGCCATCCACATTCTGACTGGTCTTACATGGGATGGTGACGGTTCCTCCCGGAGCAGAGGTCACTGCTGCAGGCTGAGTCACTGTGATCTTTCCTCTGGACTCTGAGGATACAGAGACAAACACAGAAAGCAGCGTCATGGTTTTGTGGGCTTCATTTCAGAGGGACGGATGTTCATAGAGGAGAGGAGTTGGATTCTCTGAACTTTACTTGTGAAGCAGCAGCAGAGGAGAGTCCAGATGAGGACGCAGATCACAGTCATGTTTCTGATCAGGAGGAGGAGGAGGAGGATTTCTGTGTCTTCTGTTGTGATGAAGGACAGCTGTCAGTCATCCAGTCTTCAACTCTCAGGACTATAAAGTCTCCCAGAGCACTGGAGCATGCTGCTCATGCAAACTCACTCTCTATGGAAATGCTCACATTAACTCCAACAGGACCTTAGATTATAGACATGATGATGTTGGTGATGATAAATAATATATCAATCAATTCATCTCCTGATTGATCAAACAGCTTTCCTGACTTGTATCATGAAGGTTTAGGTTTGTTCTTCTTCATCCATCTATTTGGAGAGATTTCTTCAGTCTTAGCCCGATGCTGAGGACAATGAATGTCAACTATTCAGTAAATCAATAAAGATCTTCAAAAACTGGATTCATTCAAATGGACTTCATTGAATTCTCTGCTTTCATTGGAGCTCAAAGCTCTTGCAGACAGAGACACATTTAGGTGACTTTGTTTGTGTCAGAGTCAGAGAGCCGTGTCTCTCTACAGTCAGAGGTTTTTGTACGGCGCCTCAATGACTTTGTATCACTGTGGTACACGTTCGGTGGAGGAACCAGACTGGATGTTGGAAGTAAGTCAAATATAAAGTCTTTTTCTTTTGAGTCAGTCATTTTTGGATCTGATTTCTTCTTTTGAAAGACTGAAGGAAAAATATTCGCGTTTCTTTTTCTTTGCCAGGTGTCAGTTAGAAACTAAAACTGTATAAAATCTCCAATTAAATCTGAGTCCATGAAATAATGAAGTGTTTCGAATGTTGGTATTCAGTTGGACCCTGAGGGCTGGTAGGTTTAGTTCAGTCAGAGTCAGAGAGCCGTGTCTCTCTACAGTCAGAGGTTTTTGTACGGCGCCTCAATGACTTTGTATCACTGTGGTGGACTTTTGGTGGAGGAACCAGACTGGATGTTGGAAGTAAGTTTCTATTTTAATATCAAATCTTTCAGTTCAACATAGTGTATAAATTCTTATTTGAAACAGAACTTTTTCTGTAGAATTTGGACATTTTGATTTGATCTTTTTTTATTGATCACTGTTGTTTCTTCACACGGAGGTTAATTCAGGACAGTTACACTGAACAGTTTTTCACACAGTCTGGTCATAAAATGTCAAAATTCTGACCGACTTGAAGGTTGAATTTTATTTTTAGTAAAATTTTTCACTTTTTTGAAATTCATTTAAACTCATTTTCTTAAACTGCATTTTGAACTCTTGATGATATTGATCTGATTTGGACGTTTGAAGATTTCCAACCCAGTGTCGACATAAAAACCATGAAGGAAAAAGAAGAACATCTCTGATCTCTTGATGTCTTTTTAAATGAGACTCTTTTGAACCCGACTGGTGAGGATTTCAACTCACATGAAGAACATTAGATCGTTTTATTGATCGATCGATCGATTGACTGATGAGTATTGATATGTATTTCCTCAGAATAGTCAAAAGTGTAATGTTTGAATGGTCTGATAGTGTTTGTGTTATTTCAGTGATTTTCAGTGGGGTTAGTCAGTATGTGAGTGTCTCTGTGCTGATGTGCATGAGAGGTTTCTTAAAGGGAAGTGAAAGTCCATGAAGAAGAAAATCAACGTTCAACATGAAAGCTGTCCCAGTGTCTGCTGTTTGATTGACAGCTGTGTGCTCCCTGTCCTCTAAGCTGATTGGTGTCTCCTAGGTGATGCCCCTCCTGAACTGAAGGTGCTGTCCCCCTCAAGAGACGAGCTGCGGCAGCACAGGCAGGGGAAGGCCACGCTCATGTGCCTGGCCAACAAGGGCTTCCCCTCAGACTGGACTCTGGTCTGGAAGGTGGACGGCAGCAGCAGCAGCAGCTGGGAGGAGAGCAGGAGCCCTGCGGTGCTGGAGAAGGACGGTAAATACACCTGGAGCAGCACCCTGAGGCTCCCTGCAGACCAGTGGAACAAGGTGGTCTCTGTGACCTGTGAGGCCACCCGGGACTCCCAGACTCCGGTCTCGAAGACCCTGAGGAGAGACGAGTGTTCCCAGTAGTGATCTGATTCACTGGAACCCTGATTCAGTTTTTCCTCTCGTCCTGCTCTCAGTCTAAACTCTCTCTCTCTCTCTCTCTCTCTCTTTCTTCGTCTCTTCTCAAACAGGTTTTTGCTTTTTCTCTCTTTGATCGTTTCAGAAGTTTAACTCAATAAAAACATTACATTAAAGTCAGCTCTGTGTGGTTTTCCTCCTCATTTATTTCATTATTAAATTATTAGTCAGACATGATCCCCAAAGAAGAACAAAAATACCATTTACTTTAGTTTTTCAGACCTTATTAAAACGTAAATGTGGTTCATGGTTGGTCCAGGTTAAAAGAAATAAACAAACACTCCATAAGCTAACTGTAAATCCAGTATGATTTCATTCAACAATAGAAACCAGCCGATAATCTCACTGAAGTCTGCTGGTGATGTTTCATCTGTTGTGAGGTCTTAAAACTGAGAGAAAAAGTGATGATAGTTCAGATCTTTGAGCTTTGTCACACTTTTAGGTCAACAAAGAAGAGCGGGATATCATCAGCGTACGGTGATATCATGTGTTTACAATGGAAGATTAGAGTTCAGTGAGTTTAATGGAAAATAATGAAGAGAATGAAACAAAATAATTTCATTATGGTGGGATGAATCTTTTCTGTGGTGAAACAACATTAAATATCTCAAGTAGATGTAGAGTGTTCAAACTTTTATCTAAATGATGATTTTACACATTTTCTATAGTCAGTATTCACTCTTAGTGCTCTGTTTTATTCTGTGTCTCTGTCACTGTGCAGATGTTCAGTCTGATCACTTCCTCTTTAGCTGAGGAGGTTTTTGTACGACGCTTTTTCACTGTGTGAACGGCAAGCTGTTACGCTGCCCACAGTGATAAACTCCTGCGTCTTCAGTCTGGACTCCATTGATGGTCAAAGTAAAGTCTGTTCCTGACTGACTTCCACTAAAACGATCAGGAACTCCAGACTGATGGCTTGTAGCATAATAAATCAGGAGTTTAGGAGCTTCTCCAGGTTTCTGAAGGTACCAGGCTACAACATTACTCACAGATGTACTGGCTTTACATCTGAGAGAAACCGTCTGTCCTGGAACAACAGCTACAGCTCCAGGAGACTGAGTCATGGTGATATCTCCTGATGAACCTGAAAAACATGAAGAAAAGAAGAAGAGTTCCTGAGACAGACCCAGCAGATTGTAGACTGTAAATTCAGCTTTTTTCAGGGTTTTTAAATCACAGCAGAACATCACTGAGGTCAACCTGGAGACGTCTGAAAACAAGTTTTCAGCAGTGATCCTCACCGTGAATGAGAAGCCCCAGGGCGGCCACCACTACAATAAGTAACTCCATCATTGTGTTCTGGACGTGTCCGTGTCTCTGAAGGGTCTGGACAGCCACCCATGAACTCTGACCTCTTAAGAGCTGAGAGCAGAGAGGAAGGACACATATGCAAACACTCAGAGTCAGTCATCTGAAACTGTCCTCTACATATGATTGGAGTTTCTCCCTAACAGCTTTGACAGCATGAAGGTTTCAGTCTCACATTCACCGATGATCCTTTGGCCTTCACTAAACAAGTGCAGCAACATGATCCTGAAGGTTCATGAAAACATGATTCAGTTTTTATTGTTTCAGAGGATGTGATTGAAAAAGTTTGAGCCTGAAAAACTTTTTTTTTGTGTTATAGAAGATACTGACAGTTTCATATAGAAAGACAATTCTTTGTGTTTGACTTGATTTTATGATAAATGTCTTGGTATAAATATTTGCTTTACTTGAACGGGTCATTTGAGTGTCTTCAAATGTTGCTGAAAGACCTTCAGAGTATTTTTAAAGTGGATAAGGTGTTTGAATGAATTAATGGTGGAATAGTGATCATAATCAAAATAAAGGGAGGGTTTGGTGAAGTGCAACAGTGTGTGTGTGTGTGTGTGTGTGTGTGTGTGTGTGTGTGTGTGTTTGTGAACCTCCAGCTGCAGCCGTCAGTTCAGTTTCAGTTCAGTCTGACTGAGGGAGGTTTTTGTACGACGCTTTTTCACTGTGTGAACACATACTGACTGTTGGGGTAGTGAAAACTCTGACAGTAGTAAACTGCTGCATCTTCAGTCTGGACTCCACTGATGGTCAGAGTGAAACTAGATCCAGATCCACTGCCTGAAAAACGACTTGATATCCCTGATTGTCGAGTGCTAGCAGCATAAATGAGCAGTTTAGGAGTTTCTCCATCCTTCTGTTGGTACCAGTGCAGATGGCTATTGCCATGCACATTCTGACTGACACTACAGCTGATTTGTGCGTTTCCTCCCGGAGCAGAGCTCACTGCTGCAGGCTGAGTCACTGTGAACTGTCCTCTGGACTCTGAGGATACAGAGACAAACACAGAAAGCAGCGTCATGGTTTTGTGGGCTTCATTTCAGAGGGACGGATGTTCATAGAGGAGAGGAGTTGGATTCTCTGGACTTTACCTGTGAAGCAGCAGCAGAGGAGAGTCCAGATGAGGATGCAGATCACAGTCATGTTTCTGATCAGGAGGAGGAGGAGGAGGATTTCTGTGTCTTCTGTTGTGATGAAGGACAGCTGTCAGTCATCCAGTCTTCAACTCTCAGGACTATAAAGTCTCCCAGAGCACTGGAGCATGCTGCTGCTCATGCAAACTCACTCTCTGTGGAAATTTGTAGAACTGAAACTTGTCTGCAGTCATCCCTGAGCAGTGATGCTGGTCTGTTTCCATGGTAACTCAGCTATGAGAGGAAATGTTTGAGAATAGTTTCATCTTCTCTGATAAAGACCAGCAGATGTGCTTCAGTCTCTGTTACAGGACACAGATGAACTCACCTGACACAAACTTTTGTCCAGCAGCACCAACCTCACTTTTCTCACTTTTCAGGATCGTTCATCAAGACATTTTTACTATTGTCATATTGTAAGTGATATTGTATTAAAATTGGACCAAACAATTAGAGGTTAATAAAATACAATAAAAGTCTGTTGAGAGTTAAAAGTCATGTTTAGTAAAGACACACTTATCAACATGAGTTTTTAACAAGTTTTAAATGAAGATAAGGAACTCTGCAGTTTGATCTCCTCAGGTAGTTTGTTCTAGAGAGTGGGGGCCCTGATAGAAAACCCTGGGCCCCCCTGCTCCTCAGCCTGGACTGGGGGACAGTCATCAGCATTATGTTTTCTAAATTAAGTCTGTGCGATTTCAGAAAACACTAACATTACAATTTTTTTCAAACCTGTGATATAGATTGCAATATTAAAAAAATAGAGGAATTTTCACCAGATGACCTGAATATCACTTTATGCTGAAATCTTGAGGACAGTTACCCTGCACTGATCTTACCTCTTTTTGAGAATGTTAGTAGAATGGCTTCTGTCTGTCTCAGAGATCTTTTTAGCTTTTATTGTGCTGGGACGTTATTGTGGCAACTGATGAAAGGCACTGCCGACACAGAACAGGTGTTTGGTGACGTCATCCTTTCTGTAACCGAAATAATTACAGATAAGTGACGTTACTGTTCTATTTTCCAACAAGTATTGATCTTCAATGGCAAGTGACGTTGCTTCTCTTTTTATCAACAAGTATTCATCTTCAATGGTAAGTGACGTTCATGTTCTTTTTGTCAACAAATATTCATCTTCGGCGGTTTTCTCTTGTTCGTTTCTCATTTTACAATCGTTGATGTTGTTTCCGTGCCCGCCGAGGATTGCATGAAACTCGCAGAAACGCGCACCGCTTACAGCAGAGTGGTCCACGGAAATGTACAATTTAAAACCCATTCAGTTATTATTTGTGGGGCTAAACAGTGATGAGGAATGTTCCCAAAGTAATTCTAAGCGGACACGCGTTTCTCGGCAAATCTACGCTAGCGTCAGCGACTAGCTCCATGTGCAGGACATGTGCATGGGCGTAGTTTCCTCCTCTCTGGTTTTGATTGACGGCTGGCAGTGTAGTGTGATTGGCAACTGAGTAAAGAACGAATGTGATTGGTGGATCGCTAAACAGCACATGCAGAGTCACATGCAGTATATCTCCGTCATCTATCCTTGCAAGGCTGTGTAATGTCACTATCAGCACACATACATCGCGATGACGATACTCAAACGATATATCGAGCAGCCTTCTTCCAAATTAGCTAGAAATACATGTAAACCATGTTTAATGTATAAACAGATATTTAAAATTCCTTTGTGTCATCTTTCACTCAGTAAAAAAAATTCCTACGCACAATATTTAACACAAACTCTTGTTTCTTTGGTGTCTCCTTGTGTTTCTTCAGTGTTTCCTGCTGACGTCCAGCAGCTGATTATGAAAGAAGAGTCTCCTGAGCAGAAGTGGAGCCCCAGTCTGGACCAGGACGATGTCAAACCTCCACTGATTAAAAGGAAACAAGAGGAATCTTGGAGCAGTCAGGAGGAGCCGCCTCAAGGCCTGGAGGAGGCTGATACCACTGAGATCCCTTTGACTCCCTTCAAAGAGAAACCTCGGTCCTTACAGCTTCATCACAGACTGACTGAACAGATGGACACACAGGCTGATGAGAAGGACTCTGGAGGTTCAGAACAAGCCAGGAACTTGGATCCAGAAAGACATTTATATAGTACACTAATATAATAATATATTCTGGAGTAGATTTTTGGTCCAAGTTCAAACTGAGAAGAACTTGATGTTGTTTATTAATATTATGTCCCCATGAGGCCTGAAAAAAACAAATTCTTGTTCTCTCAAAAAGTGGAGCTTTGATCAGTTATTAGATCAGGTTATCAGGATATTGAGGTGTATAAAACACTGTCATCTGTAAAAAAGCAGATTTAATGAGAGGGAACTGAGTTTAATGTGAGGGATGTTGGTACAATGTTGACCAGACTAAACTAAACATCTAATTAATATGTTAACATCTACGGTAAAAAAGTGAAATTATTATTCATTTTTATGTGTGTGTGTGTGTGTGTGTGTGTGTGTGTGTGTGTGTGTGTGTGTGTGTGTGTGTGAGTGTGTGAACCTCCAGCTGCAGCTGTCAGTTCAGTTTCAGTTCAGTCTGACTGAAGGAGGTTTTTGTACGACGCTTTTTCACTGTGTGAACACATACTGACTGTTGGGGATGTGAAGACTTTGACAGTAGTAAACTGCTGCATCTTCAGTCTGGACTCCACTGATGGTCAGAGTGAAACTAGATGCAGATCCACTGCCTGAAAAACGATTTGATATCCCTGATTGTCGAGTGCTAGCAGCATAAATGAGCAGTTTAGGAGTTTCTCCATCCTTCCGTTGGTACCAGACTAAATGGTTATTGCTCCACACATTCTGACTGACACTACAGCTGATTTGTGCGTCTTCTCCCAGAGCAGAGGTCACTGCTGCAGGCTGAGTCAGTGTGTACTGTCCTCTGGACTCTGAGGATACAGAGACAAACACAGAAAGCAGCGTCATGGTTTTGTGGGCTTCATTTCAGAGGGACGGATGTTCATAGAGGAGAGGAGTTGGATTCTCTGGACTTTACCTGTGAAGCAGCAGCAGAGGAGAGTCCAGATGAGGACGCAGATCACAGTCATGTTTCTGATCAGGAGTAGGAGGAGGATTTCTGTGTCTTCTGTTGTGATGAAGGACAGCTGTCAGTCATCCAGTCTTCAACTCTCAGGACTATAAAGTCTCCCAGAGCACTGGAGCATGCTGCTGCTCATGCAAACTCACTCTCTATGGAAATGCTCACATTAACTCCAACAGGGCCTTAGATTATAGACATGATGATGATGATGATCAATAATGGATCAATCAATTCATCTCCTGATTGATCAAACAGCTTTCCTGACTTGTATCATGAAGGTTTAGGTTTGTTCTTCTTCATCCATCTATTTGGAGAGATTTCTTCAGTCTTAGCCCGATGCTGAGGACAATGAATGTCAACTATTCAGTAAATCAATAAAGATCTTCAAAAACTGGATTCATTCAAATGGACTTCATTGAATTCTCTGCTTTCATTGGAGCTCAAAGCTCTTGCAGACAGAGACACATTTAGGTGACTTTGTTTGTGTCAGAGTCAGAGAGCCGTGTCTCTCTACAGTCAGAGGTTTTTGTACGGCGCCTCAATGACTTTGTATCACTGTGGTACACGTTCGGTGGAGGAACCAGACTGGATGTTGGAAGTAAGTCAAATATAAAGTCTTTTTCTTTTGAGTCAGTCATTTTTGTTTCTGATTTCTTCTTTTGAAAGACTGAAGGAAAAATATTCGCGTTTCTTTTTCTTTTTGCATGTTTTAGAGCGAGTGAAACTTGAGGGATCCAGGTGTCAGTTAGAAACTAAAACTGTATAAAAACTCCAATTAAATCTGAGTCCATGAAATAATGAAGTGTTTCGAATGTTGGTATTCAGTTGGACCCTGAGGGCTGGTAGGTTTAGTTCAGTCAGAGTCAGAGAGCCGTGTCTCTCTACAGTCAGAGGTTTTTGTACGGCGCCTCAATGACTTTGTATCACTGTGGTGGACTTTTGGTGGAGGAACCAGACTGGATGTTGGAAGTAAGTTTCTATTTTAATATCAAATCTTTCAGTTCAACATAGTGTATAAATTCTTATTTGAAACAGAACTTTTTCTGTAGAATTTGGACATTTTGATTTGATCTTTTTTTATTGATCACTGTTGTTTCTTCACACGGAGGTTCATTCAGGACAGTTACACTGAACAGTTTTTCACACAGTCTGGTCATGAAATGTCAAAATTCTGACCGACTTGAAGGTTGAATTTTATTTTTAGTAAAATTTTTCACTTTTTTGAAATTCATTTAAACTCATTTTCTAAAACTGCATTTTGAACTCTTGATGATATTGATCTGATTTGGACGTTTGAAGATTTCCAACCCAGTGTCGACATAAAAACCATGAAGGAAAAAGAAGACCATCTCTGATCTCTTGATGTCTTTTTAAATGAGAATCTTTTGAACCCGACTGGTGAGGATTTCAACTCACATGAAGAACATTAGATTGTCTTATTGATCGATCGATTGATTGACTGATGAGTATTGATATGTATTTCCTCAGAATAGTCAAAAGTGTAATGTTTGAATGGTCTGATAGTGTTTGTGTTGTTTCAGTGATTTTCAGTGGGGTTAGTCAGTATGTGAGTGTCTCTGTGCTGATGTGCATGAGAGGTTTCTTAAAGGGAAGTGAAAGTCCATGAAGAAGAAAATCAACGTTCAACATGAAAGCTGTCCCAGTGTCTGCTGTTTGATTGACAGCTGTGTGCTCCCTGTCCTCTAAGCTGATTGGTGTCTCCTAGGTAATGCCCCTCCCAAACTGACGGTGTTGCCCCCCTCCAAAGACGAGCTGGAGCACGGGAAGGAGGGGAAGGCCACGCTCATGTGCCTGGCCAACAAGGGCTTCCCCTCAGACTGGACTCTGGTCTGGAAGGTGGACGGCAGCAGCAGCAGCAGCTGGGAGGAGAGCAGGAGCCCTGCGGTGCTGGAGAAGGACGGTAAATACACCTGGAGCAGCACCCTGAGGCTCCCTGCAGACCAGTGGAACAAGGTGGTCTCTGTGACCTGTGAGGCCACCCGGGACTCCCAGACTCCGGTCTCCAAGACCCTGAGGAGAGACGAGTGTTCCCAGAAGTGATCTGATTCACTGGGACCCTGATTCAGTTTTTCCTCTCTTCCTGCTCTCAGTCTAAACTCTCTCTCTCTCTCTCTCTCTCTCTCTCTCTCTCTCTCTCTCTCTCTCTCTCTCTCTGGTTCTGTCCTTCAGTCATGGTGTTTCATGTTTCAGTGTTTCTGCTTTTGCTGACGGATTCATGATTTTAAAACAATAAAGATTTTCTCGTGTTTATCATCAAACTGGTCGGATTTTTTACTGGCAGAGGTCGAATGAAAGATTTTGATTCTGATCTTATAACTGATCAAGTCAAACCTAAAATGTGATTTTCATCCTGCTCTGGTTTAGATGTTTAATGGCGTCCAGTTCAACATGGACAATGGTAGGATAGTATCCCCAGTTAGATGACCACCATATACAACAGGCTTTAAATTTGGGTTAAAGGATATGAAGTTCTTTGAGTGAGTTCACATCTGAGCAGACAACAATCTAACGTGGAGTTCCCCAAGGCTCCATCTGTGGACTCTTCGAGTTTAACCGCCGACACAAGCCGAGATTGTAGAAAAGAACAAAATCAGTGACCTGAACTTCACAGATGAAATACAGCTCTACAGTGTTGTCAGGGGACCATGACCCTGTATCAGCTCTTTGAATGACCTTAGTGCTAATAATACTGTGTAAATGGACCTGCCTTACCACCAATGTTCACTCAGTAAAAATGAGTTAATTCTCAGGATAAGAAAATATCCTGGTACATTTATGATCATGGCTGTGTCCGTGCTTGTTCTAAATATATGCAGGTTTTTTTGTGACTTTATAAAGTGTTACAGGCAAAGGTCAACTAAAATATACTGTTTGATTTGGAGAGATATGAAGTTAATTTTAGACTTTAGCTGGAAAGGAGAACCAGAACTTGACAACGGAAAAGTGATTTCAGTGTGTGTGTGTGTGTGTGTGTGTGTGTGTGTGTGAAAGAGAGAGAGAGAGAGAGAGAGAGAGAGGGGACAGGGGGAGTTTTTATTGATGTGTGTCTGCAGTGGCCGCCAGCTGCAGGAGGTTTTTGTACGACGCTTTTTCACTGTGTGAACACATGCTGACTGTTGGGGTAGTGAAGACTCTGACAGTAGTAAACTGCTGCATCTTCAGTCTGGACTCCACTGATGGTCAGAGTGAAACTAGATCCAGATCCACTGCCTGAAAAACGACTTGATATCCCTGAGTATCGAGTGCTAGCATGATAAATGAGCAGTTTAGGAGTTTCTCCATCCTTCTGTTGGTACCAGGCTAACAAGTTATTGCTATACACATTCTGACTGACACTACAGCTGATTTGTGCGTCTTCTCCCAGAGCAGAGGTCACAGCTGCAGGCTGAGTCACTGTGATCTGTCCTCTGGACTCTGAGGATACAGAGACAAACACAGAAAGCAGCGTCATGGTTTTGTGGGCTTCATTTCAGAGGGACGGATGTTCATAGAGGAGAGGAGTTGGATTCTCTGGACTTTACCTGTGAAGCAGCAGCAGAGGAGAGTCCAGATGAGGACGCAGATCACAGTCATGTTTCTGATCAGGAGGAGGAGGAGGAGGATTTCTGTGTCTTCTGTTGTGATGAAGGACAGCTGTCAGTCATCCAGTCTTCAACTCTCAGGACTATAAAGTCTCCCAGAGCACTGGAGCATGCTGCTGTTCATGCAAACTCACTTTCTGTGGAAATTTGTAGAACTGAAACTTTTCTGCAGTCATACCTGAGCAGTGATGTCCGTCTGTTTCCACGGTAACCAAGTTAAAATAGGGAAATGTTTGAGACCAGTTTCATCTGCTCTGATAAAGACCAGCAGATGTGCTTCAGTCTCTGTTACAGGACACAGATGAACTCACCTGACACAAACTTTAGTCCAGCAGCACCAACCTCACTTTTCTCACTTTTCTGGATCGTTTCAGGTTTTCTCTTTTGTCATCTGACTCTCTAAGTCTCTTCTGTTTGTGTCTCCTGTTGACATCCTAATAAAGAAGTTGTGTTGTGTTCATAAGAGATAAAATCCTTTATTTCAGTTAACTCTCTCTCACAATCAACTTGACCAATGATTCAAATCCTGTATCAGGTTTTCAGGGAAGTGTTCGTCTTGACCCGTGTGCGCTGAACTTTGAGCTGGCCCAAAATTAGAGTAAGTTAGTAAAAGTATTAAACCACTTTCCTCTTTGATTCGATGACAACTCTCAGAAATCTTTATTTTTAAAAATGATGCGGTCCATAAAGTGTCGGGAAATTGTGGCAAATATTAGAAATAATATCCTGGATACGCTAAAACTAATCTGGAAATGTTGTGGAGCTCTGACATGACAGGAGGGGAAGGTGAACTGAGAACCCCCACAAGGATATTTTTCTACCTGTTCCTTGAATACATATTTATTTTATATCTGAAGAATACATTAAACAATGGTATGAAAACAAGTATAATATACAAAGAAAAAAGAACAAAGATACACAGTGAATTGTGGGAGTGAAGGGAGACTAAGCAGACACAATTAAACAAATACACTAAATTTAAAGCAAATCTCTAAAGTGTTTTTGTTACAGGACTTAAATAAAGTTTTAAAATAGAAGCTGGGTTTGGTTCTTTTAAACTAACATCTTTATATATAAAACTTTCCTAACAATCGAGTCAATTTATCACAAACTCCATTTCTATTTTTCCTCGACTATTAACTACCATGCACACTTAAACTCGTGCTTTTATTTTGAAGGCCACATCAGTTCAGGGAAAATCGTATTTTGTTTCCGGGTCTTTCCGGGCCCTCTCCCATTGACAGGAGTTATCAGGTGTGAATGAACCTCACAGTCCTACATGAGCGGGATAACATTAAACAGAGATTCCTGCTTTGACTTGAAGATGTCCGATTTTCAGGATCACACAGACTCTTACAGACGGCCCGGAGATGTTACTGAACAAACACCGTCCGGATACAAAGAGGAGGAGCTCCACCACCAAAACAAACAGCTCGGGATGATTTCAGCACCTGAAATAAAACTGCAACACACAGGTTAGTCATCTGTTGTCTGTTGGAAACGTTTATACCAGGGGTCGGCAACCTTAGACACACGAAGAGCCATTTGGACCAGTTTCCCACGGAGAGAAAACACAGGGAGCCACAAACCCCTTTGACATCTAAAATAAAGATAACATTACATATATCTGGGTTTTTTTTTACCTTTGTGCAAAGAATATAAAAAACTGTAGCAAGTTGCATTTATGAACTAAATGAACTGCTGCAGAGGAAAAGAAATGTCATTTCTGCAGGCAAACAAAAATATTTCGAACAGTTAGAAATAACCTTAAAGACCCACTTCCATGAAAATCATGTTTTTCTTATTGTTTACATGTTCATATATCATTTTCATGATGCTACAGGACATATCATGAGTAATATAAGAGCCAAATTGCATTTCTGAGTGTTTTTGCATCCTAATCTCTGTGAATCTCTGGCAGACCCAAACGGTTGTCTCAGACACAGTGAGATTTTCTATGTCATAATTCCAAGCTCCGCCCTCTGAGCCCTGCTATGCAGAGGATGATCGCGCAACAAGCGTGGATAAAAAACACAATTTCACTGAATAATGTACAATATATTTTTGCAAAATAACATCCGATTAAAATGTGAAATTTACTTGCTTAGTGTGCCTTTCGCTCCTGATCCTCAGTGCACAGCGTCTCCACATCCAGGCTGAGTGACGTCACACAGGTTTTCAGTTTTCCCAAGTCGACAGTTATGATGCCTATTTTGAGGGATAAAAATTTTTAACATGGTTTATTTAATGTTACAAGGGCATTATAATCTTTAAATTTATAATTACAAAAAAACTAAAATAAAATAAATTTAAATTAAATATTTATTATTTATTTTCCAAATCTACAGGGAGTCGCAGCTTAGGGAAGAAAGAGCGGAACCTTTAGCTCCAGTCCTCGTCCTCTCTTAGCTTCTAAAATCTGATGTCTGGTCCCGAAGACGCTGTTCTCTTTTCTGTGACGGTGAAAATTCCTCCTTCAGCGTCTCTTGTTCTATTTTTAATATTAGTGGTTAAATTACACAAACTGCTCATACTTGTTTATTGCACATTACTTGTTCATATTTGTTAGTTTTGTTGGCTGTGCTTGGATTGATACTCGGTTAGCATTTACTGACATTAACTAAACTGGTTGTTGGTGTATTTAAGCAGTCCTGGATATTCATAAATGATAGGTTAGCCTGGTGAAGGTCTGTGCTGGACTTCTTAAAATTTAACCAGAAAGTCCCATTGAGATTTAAAATCTCTTTTGCAAAAGAACCTGGCCTGTGTAGCAGTTATACAGAGTCACAACCACAAAAAAAACTCACAAATAACACAATCAACAGATCTGAAACACATGTTCAAAAACATATCTGATTTTAAAAAACACACACGCTTCTGAAACGGAAACATAAATTTATAACAATGGGCAACGTGCCTTTTTTTCTGATATATTTTCTGTCTTCTGTGCTGTTATTCCTACACATGCTCTGACTGATTAAATTACACTAACACAACAATAAAGGGGTAGGACTCGATAAGTTTTATCAACTTCATCCTACACCCTTTCGAACAAAGTACGATTATCTATGTTGCTACAGAGCTGTCTCTTTATTTGTTTTTCTGCCAAAGCACATTGTATATTGTATTTTTTTTGTTTTTCTTTTAACCTGTTCGAACAAACAAAAAAAATAAAACCACGTTCTGTATAATACTCTTAAATTTGTTAAGACATGATAGCGCAGGTCTGTCAAAACCCGGGGTTCAGTACATTACAGAACAGTTGTCTTTTTTTTATCAAATGTCTCAATGTCATGTCTGATAAAAACATTTTGTGTTTCTTCAGTGTTTCCTGCCGACATCCAGCAGCTGGTTATAAAAGAAGAACCTCCTGAGCAGCAGGAGTGGAGCCCCAGTCTGGACCAGAGGGACACCAAACCTCTGCACATTAAAGAAGAACTCTGGAGCAGTCAGGAGGGAGAGCAGCTTCAGGCAGAAGATGAGAGTGATACCTCTGAGTTCCCATTCACGATTGTCACAGTGAAGATTGAAGATGCTGAAGAGAGCCCTCAGTCCTCGTGGCTTCAACGACAAACTGAACAGGTGGACACACAGGCTGATGAGAAGGACTATGAGGGTTCAGAACAAGCCAGGAACTTGGATATAGAAAGACATTTACAACAAGAAACAGATGATGAAAGTGAAGAGTCTTCTGAACCTGAGACTGATGACAGCGGCGACTGGGAGAAGACAGAAAATCAGCCAGATCTGAACTTTCTGGAAGATAACAGACCCAACCCCAATAACTGCTCACTGTGTGGTAAACTATTGGAAAAAAGTGTGCGTCTTAGTGAACAAATGGCAAATCACACTGGAGAGGGGTCCCTCAGCTGTCTAGACTGCAGGAAAAGATTAAGTCAAAATTCTGGTCTGACAACTCCCACAGTAGAGAAACCCTTTGGCTGCTCTGAGTGTGGTAAAAGATTCAACCATAAATCTGGTCTGTCAGCTCACATGGCACATCACTCGGGGGAGAAACCCTTCATCTGCCCTCAGTGTGAGAAAAGGTTTTACTATAAAAGCTCTCTGGCCATACACATGAGCGTTCACACGAATGTAAAACCGTTCAGCTGCCTGGAGTGTGGGAAGAGATTTCGTCGAGAGTGTAATCTGACAGTTCACATCAAACATCACACAGGAGAGAAACCCTTTAGCTGCTCTGACTGTGGCAAGAGATTTACTCGAAAAGGAAGTCTGATTGGACATATGATCATTCACACCGGAGAGAAACCCTTCAGCTGCCCTGACTGTGGAAAAAGATTCAGCCGAAAGTCTGGTCTGGCAATTCATATGAAACATCACACAGGGGAGAAACTCTTTAGCTGCTCCGAGTGTGGAAAAAGATTCACCCAAAAGTGCAATTTGACTGCACACATGCTAATACACACAGGAGAGAAACCCTTCAGCTGCCAAGACTGTGGTCATAGATTTACCCGGAGAGGACGTCTGAGGGAACACATGCGACTGCACACAGGAGAGAAACCCTACAGATGCCCTGAGTGTGGAAAAAGATTTCACCAGAAAGGAAATCTGACCAAACATTTGGTGGTCCACACAAAAGAGAAATCCCTCTCCTGCTCTCAGTGTGGGAAAAGATTTAATCACAGGTCTGAGCTCACAGCCCATATGGCTGATCACAGGAGCTAGACACCTTCTTACTGTAATCCTTATTATTCTTATCAATATTTAATAATGTTTATAATTTATTTGTCAGTTTTTATATATGAATCACATTCAAAATATGAGAAAATGAGAAACTGATGAGAAACTGTTATTAGGCTCCACCATGATAGAAAGAGAAACCCTCTTCAGACATGTGGGGTCATAAGCAGAGAGACACACACGTGTTGAGCTCTGGTTTCCCTAAAAGAGTTGGATGTAAATAAACAGACTCCAAACATTCAGTTTGTCATGTGTGAATCAGTGTTGGAATCCCCGTGAAAGCATAATAAATAAGTAAACCAGAATTATTTGAGACTGACCTCATGTTGGGTGTTTGACCTCGAAATTAGAATAATTTTCCTTTGGAGCATGAGTATCACCTCAAGCTCTCTTAACATCATGAAAATGCCACAAAATCTAGATAATTGAAATTACAGTCTAATACAGTCGGGCAGGAATAGTTAAACAAAAGCAGTAGTTTGGTGTTAATAGGAACTTAATGATAAAGTTAAACATGTGGTTACTCAGTTTTAACACTAATGTAGGGTCAAACACACCGTAACACCGAGTTAGACACCCTGTCGAGAGATGAATGTTACCGACCGCTTGCTTCTCTAGTTATACCAACTTTAGTAATGACTGCAGGATAGCAATACAGAGAGCCATGTGCTCAACTGATCATCATAATGATCATAACATTTATTATAATTTCTTAGAATAGAATAGAATAGAATAGAATAGAATTTATTGATCCCCATGGGGGAATTTTGTTTGTCACAGCAGCATCACATGGAAGCATTCATTCCATCAAGACAAATCTTCATGGAAATGCAATCAGATCAAAACGCTAAGGCAGAAGAACTACCGTGTCTGCAGTGCAAAATAATTAATATGATGATTATTACTTCAAGGAAACGATACAGAAATGATCATGAATGTTCTTCCTTGAGCTGCGTCACCCCACTGTAGTCCGTAATGGACTGCTAAGAAATTAGTCAAAGTTAAAAAGATGTTTGGTGGCTAGTACTATGGCTGGGACCCTATATGTACTGTTGCTATCCTGCGGTCGTTACTAAAGTTGGTATAACTAGAGAAGCAAGCTGTCAGCAACATTCATCTCTGGAGGGGGTGTCTAACTCGGTGTTACAGTGTGTTTGACCCTAAATTAATTTTACGCCAGAATATCCCTTGAAATACTCTATGTATATTCATGTTTTGCTGCCAAAGCTAATGTTGTGGCGGTAATGCGCCATAAGCTAGTTTGCCAACCGCCTTTAAACACCAAAGAAGAAGAAGCGCCTCATGTTTTGTTTCCGGGTCATGAGGCCCTCCTCTCTTTGGCACTGATAGTTCTTCTCCTCTAAGCTGCAAACTGCCATCAAACAACAAAGAGGAATAAAAACACGCCAACATTTATAGATAAATCCGACATGAGAAGAATAATCTCAGAGAAAGCGTTTCCGTTTTCCGTTTTTGATTCTTAAATCGGTGGAAAATGTCCGGATATCAGGATCCCGATGATGGAGGAGAGTTTAGAGAGCAAACAACAGAATCTGTGAACGAAGAGGAGCTCCACCGCCACAGTAAACCTCTGAAAGAGATGTTAAAGGTCGAAACCGAGCTGGATGGAGAAGGTGAGTTTACTTTTGTTTATTAGGAACATGAATATTCTGAGGAGCTGAACCTTTACACCGCATTAGCCGCAGCTAGCTCCGGCTAAAAACAAAAACAGAATTAAAACCACAATGTATAAATGAATGACTGATCATGTGTTATTTTGTCAGTAAAACTCACATTTGGTATAAAATTACCTCCTCATGTAGAAAGAGAGGAATTATTCCCTTCCAGGTGTTTTGGTCTAAAATGTGACCATGTTAACTGGTGACTTTCAGCCCAAAGTTAAAGTGGTTTTTATTGTTAAAACAGCCGCTGAAACCCCGAACCTGTTTCCATTTTTTCATTATGATCTCAAAATACATATTCCATTTCATTTTATTATTTGTTTCGAACATGTGCATGCAACACCAAAAGTAAACTGAAAACAAACATGACCAGTGAGAATATTCAAAACAACAATAACAATAATCAAAGCACAAAGGTCAAAATAACATAAAATAATACTATACATATATATTAATAATAGTGCAAACCCAACATGTCCAAAAAGGAGCAGGATGAAGCATTATGCTTTTTTAAAAACCTACCCCTTCTCCTTGACTCAATAATGACAGTCAGTCTCCAGCAAAATTAAATTATATTAACAAAAAACAATACAACATAAATAGAATAAATAAGTATAGTAATCATTTGAGAAAACACCTGGTAGTTAAAGCCCTTCTTCCTCCCTGTACCTGGTGAGAACCGTGTTTTTGTACCGCTTTTTAAACAGGGTCATACTTGGACAATGCTTGAGCTCAGACAGTTTACTTTTTACATGTTTGATATGAGACTTCAAGTTTATTTTATCATCAATTATCACCCCAAGAAACTTGTTTTCATATACTCTTTCAATATCCACCCCGCCTACTTGTATCTGTACTTGTGTATTTCTATTATGATTGCAAAATAGCATGAATTTGGTTTTACCTAAATTTAATGATAATTTGAAAAGTAAGTCTAAATCTAATGTTTAACCTAACATCCTGAAGAGGACAGATGAAACATAGAGACATTAGCTGGGACTGAACTTTGATGGATCTGCTCCTAATCTTTTGAAATAAAAAATTATGTCACGTATCAGAATTTCAAGTTTTATATGAATATGAACTCAAAACCACTTTTATCTCTCTCTGTGTTTCTGAAGTGTTTCCTGCTGATAACGTCCATCAGCTGACTGTGATTATTAAAGAAGAGCCTCCTGAACAGCAGGAGTGGAGTCCAAGTCTGGATCACGAGGACACCAAACCTCTGCTCATCAAAGAGGAACAGGAGGAGTTCTGGAGCAGCCAGGAAAGAGAGCAGCCTCAAGACCTGGATGAGGCTCATACCATCAAGTTTCCATTCACTCCTGTCACTGTGAAGAGTGAAGATGATGAAGAGGAACCTCAGTCTTCACAGCGTCATCAAAGACAAACTCAGCAGATAGAGACTGGGGCTGACAGAGAGGTCTGTGGAGGACCAGAACCAGCCAGGAACTCAGACCCAGAGAGTGATGACGAGTCTGACAACTCTTCTGAGGTTGAGACTGAAGACAGTGATGATTGGAGGGAGACCAGAGAGCATAAGAAGTCATACTGCTGCTCTGTGTGTGGGAAAAAATATTACAAAAAGTCCTATCTAACAGCTCACATGGAACACCACACTGTGGAGAAACCATTCAGCTGCTCTGTGTGTGCTAAAAGGTTCAGCTTTGAGGAAAATCTGACAGAACACAAAAGAATTCACACTAAAGAAAAGACCTACAGCTGCTCCGAGTGTGGTAAACGATTTTACCGGAAGTCTGGTCTGACGGGTCACGTGGAGCACCATATTCGAGAGAAACCCTTCAGCTGCTCAGGCTGTGACAAAAGATTTACTCTGAAAGTCAACCTGACCAAACATATGAAAGTCCACACTAAAGACCGTCCCTTCAGCTGCTCGGAGTGTGGGAAAACATTCCTTTACAAGTCTGCTCTGAAATCTCACATGGCATATCATAAAGAAGAAAAACCGTTTGGTTGCTCTGAGTGTGGCAAAAGATACACGCATAAAGCTTTTCTCATAAACCATATGAGACGTCACACAGGGGAGAAACCCTTCGAATGCCCTGAGTGTGGAAAAAGATTTAACCATAAAGGAAATATGACCAAACATATGGTTGTTCATGCGGGAGAAAAACCCTTTGAATGCCCAGAGTGTGGGAATAGATTTACCCTGATAGGAAGTCTGAGAGACCACATGAGACTTCACACAGGAGAGAAACCCTTCGAATGCCCTGAATGTGGCAAAAAATTTAACCATAAAGGAAATATGACCAAACATATGGTCGTCCACTCAGGAGAGAAACCCTTTGAATGTCCTGAATGTGGGAAAAGATTTAATGACAAAGGAAATATGAATAAACACATGGTCGTTCACATAGAAGAGAAATCCTTCTCCTGCGCTGAGTGTGGTAAAAAATATCAACACAAGTGTACTCTGAGAGCTCACATGGCACATCATAGTAAAGAGAAACCGTTTGTCTGCAGTAGCTGCGACAAAAGATTCCCTTTGCCCTCTCTGCTAAAAAAACACAAGTGTCGTCGCTCAAATTCAGCAGGTAAGTCGCAGGCCGAACACACAGAAGCTGTGGTCCTCAATGTGGACGGCCAGGATCCAAAGCCAACCAGCGACCCTCTGCCCCACGTCCTCCCCTACTCAGTGGTCTATCTTCAGAATTAAGACTTAAAGTTCATCATATAAAAACAACATCCAATCATAAAAACACAATCATGTAAAGAGACGGGCAAACCGAGGATTTGAGAGCTGATAGAGTGGACTGTGGGGAAACGGAAACGGAAACAGAAACGTTGTAAGTGGAGGAGCTGGGGTGATTCTGAGGATCTGACTGATGAAATGAAAATGATTTTACCATGAAGAGTTCACTGAACATCACTGAAACGAGTGATTTTTTTATATGTATGTTACATTTTGGTTTGCTGAAATCATCATGAGAGTTTATGAGAACTGTCTCATTAAACCAACAGAGGATAATGGAACTGAATCATTGAGTAACGATTGTAGTTACTAAGAGAAATACGACGTTTATTGAAAAAAAATCCTTTTTTGTACTTTTTAAAAATTTTCCTGGTTTTTTATTTATTTCTGATGTTTATTCATGTTCGGATTTTTATGACGATTAATAATTCCTGTTACACAGTGTCATTGTGTAAATGATCTTCTCATGTAATGTGTCTCGAAATTATTCTCAATATATAGGAGCATAATCAGACAAGTATTTCACAAATCCAATATCTAACATATAAATAATTCTAGGCCTTAACAAAATGTTCTGAGCGAATTATTAAATCTCTCTTAAAGTCTGAAACCAGATGGACATTTACAAACTGCCTTTTGTTGATTTTAATTCCAACTGAGCAGATCTGTTGACTGTGAAGTTGGGCTGTGTTAGAAATACAGTATTAGATTTGTTTGTTTATAACTTATTTACTGACAGCACTCTGATTCAAGTCTGATCGGTCGTCTTAATGACAATGAAATAAACGACAGAACTGAGCTCTCTGGATCATCTGGTTCATGTGGACCCTCTCTGCTGTGTTTGAAAGAGAAATCAGAATCTCCAAATCACACAATTACCCAGAGGACCAGGCGGGAGAGACGGAGGACAGGTGTGCAACTACATTTCTACAATTATTCTTCTAAGTCAAGATTTCGAGTCAGTTTATTCTAACTTGAAAGAGACGGTGGGTCATCCCTAAAGATATAGAAGGGAAAATTAATGTGGCGTTTATTTTGTTATTTCCCTTTTTTAACGATCAAAATAATCCGCCGACACCGAGTCTATTATGAAGTCTTATTTTGAAGGTCATGTCAGTTTAATTAAAGTGGTTTCCGGGTAGTGATGGGCACGGCAGTTCTTTTAGATGTACTGACTCACTAGAATCAGTTCACTAAAAAGATTCGTTCACTAAATCATGGAATCATTTAGCGGGAGATACCTCCGACTTCAACCTCCTGAACTGATTCACAGCTGAACGGTTCAGGATTCAGTTCAGTTCATAGTTTCTGGGACCGGAAGAGACGAGAGTGTTTGTCTGTTTCTTTGGCAAACAGGTTTGTAAAAATTAACTTGTTTATAAGTCATGATGCTTTACGTGTACTGTCCTATGGTATGCTATTTATCAGGTCTGCTCGGTAAATTGGGGTCAGTGAGTGATTCCTCACTGAATGTTTAGAAGAATTCACACTGAACACGCACTGTTCCCTCGCAAACCGCTGCAGTGATAGGATGCTGTGGGTTTTACTACTTGTTACATGCTGTGTCCTATTGTATGAAAGTTGTTGTGTTGGCAATTAGTTAGTTTTGTCCGACAAAAATGATTCCAGAGTGTAGTTCAATGTGTGATTCGTTCACTAAGTGATTCAGGCGTTGGTAGGCTACATGTGGTTCCTTGTTTGCCGGCTGCTGGCCTGGCAATGCTGTTTCTCATTTCAGCTCAACTGAAGTGTGAGACGAACGAATCACTCGAGGAAGTGAGTCGGTTCAGTACGTTAACTTAAAAGATTCGGTTCTTTTGAACAAATCGTTTGTGAACGAAACAACACTATTTCCGGGTCGTAGGCGCTCATCCACCATGCACGGTGAGCCTGAAGAGATGAGCCAGAATCCTGCACTAAACTGAGTGATCACAGAAAAGTCGTTTCTCTTCTTTGACTTCGTCTCATTAAGATGTGTGACCTTCAGGACCACGCAGGTTTGTGCAGACACCTCGGTGAGACTCGCAGAGACCTTAGAGATGAACCTGCAGCCGGAGAGGAGCTCCACCGACGAGCATCTGATGAGATTTCAACACCTGCGATTAAGCTTCAACGTGCAGGTGAGTTATCTGTTATTGACTGAAAACTTCCGGTCCGTGGACTGAATCTTTTCCTCCCACACTGCGAGATTCAGTTAAAATAACTAAAGACAAAAATATATGTGTGTTTACATTCGATGAAGGCTCTTTAGTGAGATTCAGAGTTCAGGACTGAAGACCTCTGACCGTGCTCCCTGACATGGACTGAATTTTACCACTAGGGGGCGCTGAGGTGAGTGGTTTTGGACGGTCAGTAAATGGACTGTGGAGCAGTATCCATCTCCACCTTTCTCTCACCTGTTAGCAGCGCTGTTCTCTGAATAAATACTGATGATCATCATTTAAAGAGGATTTTATTTCAATGACATTTTTGGAAAATCAGAACAGATCTGAACTTTTGATTGACAATATTAGGATTATTTAAAATAAAATAAGACAGCCTTCTCTCTGAACTCATGTTTCTGATAAAAGTGGGATGTTGCTACAGTTTCTCACCAAAGCATTGAGGGCTATACTCCTTTTGTTGTCTAAAATAACTTTCGCTCTGGTTTCACTGTTTTTGTTTTTTCACTTTTTGTTTTTTTTAACCGTTATGCTAGTCAGCGAGTTGTATTATGAATTTCCGGGTAACACTTTACAATAGCCATAATTTATAAATGGTAAATAGATCGTTTATTAATGTAAGTTAATAGTTACTTTTACATAAACAAGCAATGAAATTATGATTAATAATTTTCATTAATTATTAAGTGACTATTTATCAAAGGTTTATAAAAGGTTTAGGTTTTGGTTGTAAAACATCTAGATTAAAATGTGTGCCATTAGCATTTTGTAAAAGGTTAATATTTAGTTTTTAAACCACCTATAAACATCACTTAGATGGTTATTGTAAAGTTAGGGTTAGGTTTTTAAAATGGTAAAAATTTCCATTTTATATATATATTTTTACAAGCAATTTATTTATAATCTATATGCTATTTATAAATGATGATTAAACATTATTGAACTATCTGCCCACCATTTATAAATGGCCTATTTACCATTTATAAGTTATGGTTATTGTAAAGTATTACCAATTTCCATTCAAACAACAAGCAAAAAAGTTGCCTCTATTTATCTCTACTTGAATTATTAACTCACACTTTACTTCGATGCTTTTTTCTGATTCAGTTTTTTGCTCTTTTTTTATTTATGTATTTTTGTAGTGGTCTCTGCTCATGACCAGCAGCTGTCAGTGATTAAACAAGAGCCTCCTGAGAATCAGGAGTGGATCCCCAATCTTGACCAGGAAGACACAAAGAAGCCTCCCTACATTAAAGAGGAAGAGGGACTGGAGAGCAGTCATAAGAGGGAACAGCTTCAAGAACAGGATGAGGCTGATACCGCCGTGTTCCCAGTGATTCCTGTCCTAATGATGAGTGAAGACAATGAAGAGAAGCCTCAGTACTCAAAGCTACATCTAAGTAAATCAGAAAAGGTGGAAATAGTAGTTAAAAGAGCAGAACAAGAATCTGCCGCAAACTTAGATCAAGAAAAGCATCTGCCACCGGAGATTGAGGTCAAGATTGAGGATTCTTCTGAACTTGAGACTGAAGATAGTGATGCTGATTGGCGTGAGACTGAAGATCATCCACCAGGTTCAATATCACTGCTATACATTGAAGATAAGAGACCAGTAACAAACGGGAGACCTTTTTGCTGCCTCCAGTGTAGTAAAACATTCAAAAGAAACGCACATTTAACTGAGCACATGATGATTCACACAGGAGAGAAACCACACAGCTGTTCCGAGTGTAATAAAAGCTTTAACTGTAAAGGAAATCTAACCCAACATATGTTGGTTCACACAGGAGAGAAACCTTATGGTTGCTCTAAGTGTGGTAAAAGATTTACTCAAAAAGGAAGTCTGACCACACATATGAGAACGCACACAGGAGAGAAACCCTTCAGCTGCTCTGAGTGTCAGAAAAGCTTCTATTGTAAAGGAAATCTGACCCAACATATGCTGGTTCACACAAGGGAGAAACCGTTCTGCTGCTCTGTGTGTGCAGAAAGATTTACTCAAAAAGCACATCTCACCCAACACATGAAAGTTCACAGAGGAGAGAAACCGTTCAGCTGTAAAAGCTTTACCTTAAAAGGAAACATGATCAGACACATGTCGAGCCACAGAGAAAAGAAACTACATCAGTGCTGTGTGTGTGAGAAGAGATACAAAAGAAGGATTTGTCTGACTAAACATCTGAAAATTCACACGAGAGAGAGAGAGACAGTTTCGCTCACCTGAGTCATGTCAAACCTTAATGTAGGAAACCCGTCAGGTCTCCTGTCACGTCACACACGTCTTACACTCTCTGCGAAAAACAATCAACAAGGATCCACTTATCATGAGATGACAACACACCAGTAAAGTGATCATTAAAGTGACAGAACGACAAAACTAAAGATACCCTGAATGCTTGTATACTCTGTGGTTAAAGGAAATATTTCATTCTATTCATTTGATGTCGTTTTTACTGAGTTGAAACATTATTGGGTTTTTGTGTGTTTTAAGTAAATTATCTATTATCTTATTTCAACTTACTGTCCTTTTAGCTTTTGTTTTACTTATAATCTTTTCTGATTTTACCTTTTAGGCCTTTTATTGATTTTTCCTGCTCATTTTTGTTATTCCATTTTATTATTAATATTACCATCATTATTTTTTTATTATAATTATTAATATCTTCCTCCTATATTTCCTGCTTCCTACCCCCCTTTTTATTACATTTCTTCTTCTTACCTATTTTATGTTTTTATTTTGGTCCTCATGGTCTCATTTTATGTTATTGGGTTCTTGTATCGTCTGGGTTTCTTATGAGAAATGAAATTAGCCTTCAATTCAGAGGCCTTGTATTTAACTGAGCTTTTGTTTTTATTTGTTTTTATTTCCATGTGCTTCACAACTGTTTGTCAAAGCCCTTTGTTAACTTCTGTTTTTTTAAAGTACTATAAAAATAAATTATTATTATTATTATTATCATTATTATTAATGTTATTATTATTATTATTATTATTATTATTATTATTATTATTATTATTAAATTGACCTCTTGACACTGAGGCTGTTATTCACCTGTCATAGTCAACTCAAGAGTCCTGCGGCAACGAAGAAAAGATAAAAAAAAGACTAAAACGTATTATTTGACTGGGTTATCAGGACTTAACTTTTCTGTATTAATTTAAAATGATTGACTCTGATTCAGAGACTCTTTATTGAGTTTTAATATAATCTGGAAAGCTGGAATAAATAAGGACAGTGTTTAAAGTTGAGCTTTTATTTTGAAGGGTCAGTTTAATGGAAGTGAAGTTTTTGTTTCCTGGCGGTTACCAACAGACACCATAGCATGTATCTGCTGAGTTATCGTCCTCCTAGAGCAGAGTAATCCCAGAGAAGGTGTCTGTGTTGAGTTTTTCTCTCCTTTTTCTTCTTCATGAGGGGAAATGTCCGGATTTCAGGTCCTTAAAGATTTATTTAAGCAGCGGCTCCTCGCTGCGACCCGCAGAGACGATGCCGGACAGACATCCGGGCAAGGGGAGCGCAAAAGAAAACTGCTGGTTGTGATTTTAACACCTGGATCAAAACGTCAAACAACAGGTTAGATTTATTTCTTCTACCGGAAACTTGATTCAGTGACACAGCTCAGCCGTTCGCTCATCTATCCAGAGTGTTAGCCGCAGTTAGCTCCGGTGCTGATGAGGGCCGAGCTGGGCGGACTAGTGTTGTGTCGTTCACGAACGATTCGTTCAAAAGAACCGAGTCTTTTAAGTGAACGTACTGAACCGAATTCGTATCTCACTTCAGTTGAGCTGTCAGAAGCGCAGCTGTTATAGCACGCAGCATTGAACAGCAGCAGCGAACAAGGGACTGCATGTACTGACGCCTGAATCACTTGGTAAATGAATCACGCATTGAACTACACTCTCTGGAATCATTTTTGTCAGACAAAACTATTTTTTTACAGCTAAATTGCCACCACAACAACTTGCATACAATAGGACACGGCATGTAACAAGTAGTGCATTAAACCCGCAGCATCCTGTCATTGCAGCGAGGGAACAGTGCATGTTCAGTGAACACAGTTGCGCACTGTGATGACATCAGATGTTTGGTTACGGTGATTGGTTACAGTAGTCTGTCTATCAAGGAAAGTACTCCCGCCCATTTTTAGGGCTCCCAATTGGCCGAAGTCCAGACTGTTGTGGGAAGGAACGGCAAGTGATTCACGCAACTGGGTGGCCCAGCCAGGCTAAGGTGTTTGACCTGGAAGGGCAAAAGGTTTTTGACCGTCGTGGCACTAACTGCAGGTGTTTTCCTTGTTTTGTTCAGTGTTGGATATCAGCTGCAAATGGATTTGGTTTGTTCATTGCAATAAATTTTTTTATTCAATGATCATTACAACTCAGGGTAACACTCAGTAGTGCAGCACGTCAACTAAGTTATTCCAGGTCAAGCATCTCAGTAGCTTTAAGTATCGTCTTAGCTCCTACATAAACAATATGATGAGTCACATTAATAGGTTTGACTTAAAAATCTACAGTTTCATTAAGGTCTCTTTTGGTCTCTTCAGAATTCCCTCCTGATGATCAGCAGTCATCGGTGAGTAATGAGGAGCCTTCTGAGGAGCAGCAGGAGTGGAGCCCCAGTCTAGACCAGCAGGACATTAAGCCCCTGCTCATTAAAGAGGAACAGGAGGAACTCTGGAGCAGTCAGGAGGAGGAGGAGGAGCTTCACGGACCAGAGGAGACTGAAACCACAGAGTTTCCTTTCACAGTTGTCCCTGTGAAGAGTGAAGATGATGAAGAGAAACCTCATCCCTCACAACTTCAGCAAACACAAACTGAAAAGATGGAAATAGAGACTGATAGTGAGTTCTGTGAGGAACCAGAACCAGCCAGGAGCTCAGATCTGGAAACACATTTACACCCAGAGATTGAGGTCAAGACTGAAGACTCCTCTGAACCTGAGACTAAAGACAGTGATGATTACAGCCAGGAACCAGGAGATCATCAGCTCGGTTTAAATGCTGTGGAAAACATCGAGCAGATGAGACCAAAGATGAATAAGAAATCATACGGCTGTTCTCAGTGTGGAAAAACATTCAAGAGGAATTGGCATCTAACCAAACACATGACGACTCACACAGGAGAGAGACCCTTCAGCTGCTCTACATGTGGGAAAAGATTTGCTCAAAAATATCATCTGACCCAACACACGATAATTCACACAGGAGAGAAACCGTTTATCTGCACGGAGTGTGGTGAAGGATTTACCCAGAAGGGAAGTCTGCAAAGACACATGATACTCCACACAGGAGAGAAACCCTTCAGCTGCTCTATATGTGGTAAAAGTTACACCCAAAGAGGACATCTGACCCAACACATGCGAAATCACACAGGAGAGAAACCGTTTAGCTGCTTTATTTGTAATAAAAGTTTTACTCTAAAAAAGTACGTGACGAAACACATGGCACACCACAGACGAGAGAAACCAGAGCACTGAACGGTCCTGATTTAACGGGGTCAGGACATTAAATAATCAATGAACTGATTAGAGAATCCAATAAGAATGATAAGTACCTTTTTTAACGGCAGCACAGTTGTTTTGGTGGAGGAACCAGTAATTATGGACAGAATTTCTGGGCGCAGCCGGGGGGGTGGAGGGTGTCCAGTTCGGCAGGCAGAGGATCTCGTCGCTGCTTTTTGCGGATGATGTGGTTCTTCTAACTTCATAGAGCAGTGACCTTCAGCTCTTGCTGGGGCGGTTCGCGACCGAGTGTGAAGCAGCTGGGATGTGAATCAGCACCTCCAAGTCTGAGGTCATGGTCCTCAGTCAGAAAAAGGTAGATTGCCTTTGCCGTGTCGGAGGGGAGGTCCTGCTTCAAGTGGAGGAGTTCAAGTATCTCGGGATCTTGTTCACGAGTGAAGGTAGGATGGAGCGGCAGATCGACAGGCGGATCAGAGCAGCGTCAGCAGTGATGTGGACGCTTGACCGATCAGTCGTGGTGAAGAAAGAGCTGAGCTGTAAGGCGAGACTCTCGATTTACCGGTCGATCTACGTGCCGATCCTCACCTATGGTCAAGAACTTTGGGTAATAACCGAAAGAACAAGATCGCAGATACAAGCGGCTGAAATGGGTTTCCTTTGCAGGGTGGGCGGGCTCAGCCTTAGAGATAGGGTAAGGACACTTGGGAGGCGCTCAGAGTAGAACTGCTGCTCCTCCACGACGAGAGGAGTCAGCTGAGGTGGCTCAGGTATCTGGTTAGGACGCCTTCTGGACGCCTCCCGTTAGAGGTGTTCCAGACATGTCCCAGCAGGAGGAGACCTCGTGGCCGGCCCAGGACCAGGTGGAGGGATTACATCTCGCCTGGCCTGGGAGCACCTGGGAATCTCCCCGGAGGAGCTGGTGGAAGTGGCCGGGGTGAGGGCCGTCTGGGCTTTCCCCCCTGAAGCTGCTGCCCCCGTGACCCGGACCCGGATGAAGCGGAAGAAAACGACGACGACCAATAATTCATATCAGCAGACCTTACTTTGACATTTTCTGATAATTTATCTATAAATAAATTAAAGTGAAATTCAAGGATGCATCAGTGAGTCACATTTAAAATTAAACTGATTCATATTTCTTTAGACCGAATCATAGTTTCATCCTGTTAGGTTTGACTTTCCTGTTGTCTTTCTCTAAACAACTTTAATTGACAGCAAAACTTTTGATTTTATGATTATTTATCATATATTGATAACATAAATATTCAATTTCATGTTGACAATAGAACAATAAATGTCCTAACACACATTAGAGTGCCAAACCCTCTATCTCCTGTGCTCTGGTGTATTTCTGTGCCATAACTTACGCTGAAAGTGTCGGTATGTTTCTGTAAAGAAAAAGAAAAATGATTTCCAGTAATTTATTTAAATTTATTGCAGTTTCATCTTTATGCTTATATCCTGAAAATATTGAAACAGCCATTATTAATCCTTTCTTTGTCTCTTAGTTGTTTGATGTAACTTATGAATAAATCAGAGAAGTTTTCTGCTTCAACTCCGCTCTCTGTGGTTTTTAAAGGAAGTATGAGTTACCTGACAGGTAGGTGACTTTTTCATCAGAGTGTGTCTTTCTCTCTCTCTCTTCTGTATTGTGTAAACCTGTCTGTGAGTGCAGCTCCGTCTAATGATTGAAGACCCTCTGAGGTGAAGGGACCCAAAAGCAGGCAGCGGAGGCAGAGGAATCTTTAAGTGGTTTTATTAAGAAAGATAGGTGCAGGATGGTGAGGGGTCCAGGGTCCAAGGGGTGGAGGCTGTGTGTGAGCTGGAGAAGACAACAGGTGAGTGGAACTGAGCAGAGAGTGTGGCGGTCGTGACAGAGGTTGGGTAGGTGCTGGAGGCTAGTGGAGGTACTAGAGGAGCAGAAAGACGACAGGGGTAAAGATCAGGCTGAACAGTCACAGGAAAAATCTCAAAAACTTGAAGAAGCCACAAAAAAGACTCCATGTTGTCTTGAAGTGATAAAACCAGTGTAATCATGACATGTTGTTTTCTTGATATTGTGGTAAACTTCAGTAAAAGGCTCGATCAGTGCAGACTAACCCCCAGCTGTATCTTGACTGTTTGAAGGATGATGGCTGATACCTCTACTGTTGTCGCGCATCTTTACTGTATATTTCCATCACCACACATTATGAGGCACAACGTTCATAGCCGGACTTTTATTTTGAAAGAGTTGCGTTAAAGAAATGTTTTTGTTCCGGGGTCTCAGACAGTCAGCATGTATGGATATGAGCAGTTATAGAAGTTCAGCCGTAATCGTTTGGATTTGTTTGTTTTTCTGACTCTTAGATCAGAGAAAATGTCCGACTGTCGGGATCTGGAAGTTTTATCCAAACAGGATCTGCTCGCTGTGACTCAGACGGACGAAGAGGAGCTCCACCACCAAAGAAACCAGCAGAATATGATCATTACACCTGAATTAAAGGACCAATCAGAAGGTCAGTCTCAGTCCTCCTGTTGGATACATATTTAATCCCGTTTCAGGGTTCAGCTTTTTGGTAAATCGAAGGTTTTACTCAATGTTCGCTGCTGCTAAATACGAAGTTAGCATCAGAGGCCGAGTGTGTAAATGTCCATCACCAACCCAAAGTGAGGCCCTGAACTCCAGTCAGACTTTAACACTGTGAGTCTCACACCTGGATGTCAGTTAGTGTTGTGTCGTTCACAAACGATTTGTTCAAAAGAACCGAATCTTTTAGGTACGCACTTCCTCAAGTGATTAGTTCGTTTCTCACTTCAGTGTTGTATAAACAAAAAATCTTCTAATATCAGTCAATAGTTATTAGTTATTGATGATATTTGGTAATATATCGATATCTCTGTGTTCTCTTATGTCTGTGTAGTCAACACTTTACATTTTTGAGCGGTCCGCTCTTTCTGACTGTAAACAAAGTCGTTCTCCACCTCCACGACCTGATTGGTTGTGAGGCAGATGCTGCTCCCCCCGTGTCGTTCAGGAGCTCAAATAAAGTTAGCGTGCTACAATATCAGACAGTAGAAACCAACCAGAAAGTTCGGAAAATTGTCTGAATCCTCCTTTGGCCCCGACTGCCGACACAAGCAAGAAAACAAAGTAAATACCGGCTAATATCTGAAGGAGTCTTGATCCCTGATTGTTTAAATGTTTTTTTTTTCCCTATATTTGTCAACTGTGATTTTACTTTGTCTATTGTGTAGTTGCTGACTTTGAATCTTGGTATCACAACATTAGTTTACCAGCTGAAACATTTTATGAAGTATCGCTCCTCCAAAACATAAACTCACAACTTTCTTGAATGTCTCTTCATGTTTCTTCAGTCTATATCAGCGATGTCCAACAGCTAAAAGCGATTCAAAAGGAGTGGAGTCCTGGTCTCGAGCGGAAAGACACGAAGCCCTGGCACTTTGAAAAGGAACAAGAGGACCTCTGGAGCTGTCAGGAGGAGGCGGAGGCGGAGGAGGCTGATATCTCAATGTTACCATTCACTGTTGTCATAGTGAAGAATGAAGATGATGAAAAGGAACCTCAGTTTTTACAGTTTCAGCACAGCCATCCTGAACGGACAGGAACTGAAGCTGATTGTGAGGACTGTGAAAGATCAGAAGAAGCCAGCAACTCTGATTTGGAAGGATATTTACAACCAGAGATGAAAGTCAAGACTGAGGACTCTTCTGAATCAGAGACGAAGGACCGTGATGATAAATGTAAGACAACTCGAGATGTTCAGCCAGGTTTGAAGACTCTAGAAAACACTGAAGAGATGACACCAAAGATGAGTAAGAAACCACTGAGCTGCTCTCAATGTGGTAAAACATTCACTAGAAATGGGTACATGACTAAACACATGAGGACTCATACAGGAGAGAAACCCTTCAGCTGCTCTATGTGCGGTAAAAGATTTGCCCAAAAAAACTACGTGACACAACATATGATAACTCACACAGGAGAAAAACCATTCAGTTGCTCCATGTGTGGTAAAAAATTCTCCCAAAAGAACCATGTGACCCAACACATGATACTTCACATAGGAGAGACACCCTTCAGCTGCTCTCTGTGTGATAAAAGATTCGCCCTGAAGTATCGCCTGACTCAACACATGATAATTCACACCGGAGTGAAACCCTTCAGCTGCTCTCTGTGTGATAAAAAATTTGCCCAGAAGGGGTGTTTGAACAGACACATGACGCGTCACACTGGAGATAAACCGTATACCTGCTCGACGTGTGAGAAAAGATTCTCCCAAAAAGCACATCTGGTCGAACACATGATAATCCACACGGGAGAGAAACGATTCAGCTGCTCTGTGTGTGGCAAAAGATACACCCACAAAGAAAACGTGAGAAAACACATGGCCCATCACAAAGAGGAAAAGCCCTTCATCATCCAGAGTACAGGAGCGTGATGGAGGGAAATTCAGGATCCCCTTATGTTTGTTCATGAAGTGAATCAAACAGAAGGAACATATTAACACACACACTTGTACATCCATCAGCTCTGTGGAGGAGCACACAGTGACAGCGTCTCATCTGAACCATCCTCTGCAGGTTCAGGAACATTTAGATTTGTGATTTTTCTGAAATTTCCATGTAAATTCTTTGATACTGACAACCCAAGTGGCAGCGGTGATAATAAACCTGACTGTTTGGCTGGGAGATTCTCTGTGTTTTAAATGTTTGATCTAAATCTCACATATATTAGTTTTTTAAACAGCCTGACCTGAAGTCGACTGAGGTTTCATTTCATTTATTTAGATCTCCATTAGCTTTGGCTAAGGCCATTGCTATTCTTCCTGGAGTCTACATTCACAGTTAGCTCTCCATTGCAGTGCATAGTCACAAGAAAAAACATCACGTCACATACACAAAAACAACATCGATTACAACAACAACTCACAACACTTACAAGACAAAAACAAAACAGCAAAACTAGAACAATACAAACAACATACACATATAACTGGACCTTATTCATTTCCACAGTGTAGCTGTAGTCAAAAATAATCAGATGTTTTAAATATCAACTTACATTTCACATAATTGAATTGGATTAATTAATTTACTGAAACAGTACCCAATACATAGTATCCAATATTATAAGTAGATCAGACAAACCAAGCTTTGTCTAAACAAGGAGCTGTTTGACTAGTAAATGTTCTTTAACAAGATCTTCAAATCTGTATTGGTTGTGTTCTTGGATAATATGTCCTGGCAGAGCATTTCATATCACCACTTTGGGTAGTGCGTTAATATCTGTTCCAGAGTAATGATAATCATGAAACCCCGAGGTGACATGTTTAAGGGACATCTCACATTCAGACCGGCTCCTCGAACCACGGTCTGCTGCACAGTCTTCAGTTTTAGTTTCTCAGTCTTTGCTGTTTCCTTCTGATGCAGCCCTGGCCTTTTTAAATTTTATTTTACTTTTTTAACCTGCAAACTTTCATCTCATTGTCTAGATTTTAAGTCTGCAGAGTGTCATGTCCCTCAGCTGCTGCACTTGCATTAAACTATCTTTGTAAATAACTCAGACTCGCCTCTCAGGTTTCTAGTTTACTTCTTTACTCGAGTTTGAACCTTTGAACAATCTTACAAATTCAGCAGAAATGTCAAATTCACTGTCAAAAACACTGCTGCGATTGTGATTCTGTGATACTACCCTGATCGGTCCAGACTTCTGACCAACTGTGAAGGCTGTAGAGTCTCCCTATAAAGATTAAATCAAATTTTAAAGTTTTTTTTTTTTAAACAGTAATTAGAAACTTGATGGCATATTGATGATGTACAACGTTTGAGTCTGCGTCTTATTTTGAAGGCCATTGCGCTTCTATTTCCGGGTCGTGGTGGCCCCTTTCCGCCAAGCAGTGGTTGCTCACATGGATGAATAACAATAACAAAGGTGTAGGTGTTTCTTTTCCTCTTGGACTCTGCTGAGTGGGACATGTCCAGCTGTGAAGATTTCCTCCACCTGCAGCTCCTCCCTGCGGCTCACAGAGAAGATGTCGGACCATCATCACCGTCCGGGTCCGAAGAGGAGCTCCACCACCACCAGAGAAAACTGCTGGATGAGATCTTAACACCTGAATCACAACAGAAAACAGCAGGTGGGTTTTCTTTCTCCTGTTTAGTGTTTGTATCATGTTAAAGTATCAAGTAGCTCATCCTGTTACGCGCGTTCACGTACACGTTCACGTTAGCAGCAGGTAGCTCAGTTAGCATCAGCTGGGTGTCACCATAGATCTATATATAAACGCTAGATGTCTTACGCACGCTGTTAGCCAATGGAGACAGACGTCCGCGTCATAGTTTCATTGCTTGTTAATGTTAAAGTAACTATTAACTTACATTCATAAACTATCTATTTACCATTTATAATTGATCTATCTTCTGTTTTTAAATGATGATTAAACATTAATAAACTATTTATTTACCATTTATAAATGATGGTTATTGTAAAGTGTTACCTGGCAATAATAATAACTTTATTTTTTATAGCACTTTTGAAAACAGAAGTTTACAAAGTGCTTTGACATTTAGTCATAAAAGACAGATAAAAACAAAAAGCTCAGTTAAAACGGAATTAAAGGTCATTTTCATAAGACAATACAAGAACCATGCAACATAAAATGAGACAATGAGGACCAAAATAAAAACATAAGATAGGTAAGAAAAAGAAAATGCAATTAAAAGGGGGGGGGGGGGGGGGGGGCAAAAGTGGGAAAGAGGATAGTAAATGTCAATGTTGATAATAGACAATATCAAAAGTGATAATAAAATAATAACAGGTAATACTGATAATAATAGAAATGATAAAACAGAGCAACAGAAATGAGCAAGAGATAGAACAATAAAAAGGCCTAAAAGGTTAAAAAGAAAAGAGTATTAGTATAACAAAAGCTAAAAAGACAGAAAGGCTGAAATAAGATTAAAAAAAGTAAAAGAGATAAAAGATGAAAAATAAAAGAAGAAAAGCTGGTTTTGATGTCTTCTTGTATTTCTCAGTGTCTTTGGCTGATGTCCAGCAGCTGTTGGCGATTAAACAGGAACCCCCTGAGCAGCAGGAATGGAGTCTCAGTTTGGACCAGGAGGACACTAAACCTCTGAACATTAAAGAGGAGCAGGAGGAACTCTGGAGCAGCCAGGAGGAGGAGGAGCAGCTTCAAGGACCAGAGGAGGCTGATATTACTAAGTTTCCATTTACTGTTGTCATTGTGAAGACTGAAGATGATGAAGAGAAGCCTCAACCCTCACAGCTTTGCCAAAAAGAAACTGAATGTATGGAAACAGAGGATAAAAGTGAGTATTGGGAGGGACCAGAACCAGCCAGGAACTCCGAGATTGGGGTCAAGACTGAGAACTCTTCTGGACCTGAGACTCAAGACAGTGATGATAAATGTAAGGAGACACCAGATGATCAAATAAGTTTAAATACTGTAGAAAACCGCGAAGAGGTGAGACCAAAATTAGTTAGGAAACCACACAGCTGTTCTCAGTGTGGGAAAACATTCAAAAGAAACTGGCATCTGACTGAACACATGATGATTCACACAGGAGAGAGACCCTATAGCTGCTCTCTGTGCGGGAAAAGATTTGCCAGAAAATATCCTCTGACCCAACACATAATGATCCATACGGCAGAGAAACCATTTAGCTGCTCTGAGTGTGGGAAGAGATTTAATACAAAAAGAAGCATGAAAAGACACCGGATAGTCCACAGTGGGTGTCGAGTATTTAGCTGCTCTGAGGGGGGTAGAAAATTTAGGCATAAAAAATATTTTACCCATCACAGGCAGGAGAAACCCCTCAGCATGTCTGAGTATGGGTCAGCCAATACAGAAACTGTGGTTAGTGACAAACAAGCTGGAGGGTTTCTCTCCTGTGTGAATTTGAATAAGCGTAACACAACCCAAACAAAGACAACCATCAGTGAAATTCATAATCATAGAGGAAAGAAGCCCTGTAGCTCACCTGTGGATGGTACAGCCCAAACAAAAACTATCTCTGTGGGTGTTCAAATTCATGCAGAAGCAAAATCACCCAGCATGTCTGAGTTTGGTACAGTCCAGAACAAACATATGTTCAATGACGTTCAGGTTCATACGAGAGAGATGCCCTTCAGCTTGTCAGGGTGTAACACGGCCAATAAGAAAGCTACGACGAGGGACCCTCAAATTCACACAGAGGAGAAACCATTTAGTTGTGCTGAGTGTGGCACGAAATTCACCCAAAAGAGAAGTTTGACGAGACACATGGCAACTCACACAGGAGAGAGACCATACAGCTGCTCTTTGTGTGGGAGAAGATTCGCCCGAAAAGGAAATATGACCCAGCACATGATAATCCACACTGGTGAGACACCATTTAGCTGCTCGAAGTGTGGGAAAAAGTTCAATTCTAAAGGAAGCATGAACAATCATAGGTTAGTGAAATGTGTGGACAAAGTTTTAAGCTGTTCTGAGAACGACATGAGATCTGAGAACGAAGGAAATTCAGTCAGTCACACACAAATACACACCAGTGAGAAACCGTTCAGTTGCATCGAGTGCGGAGAAGGATTTACCCAAAAGGGAACGCTGAACAGACACATGATACTCCACACAGGAGAGAAACCATTCAGCTGCTCTACATGTGGGAAAAGTTTTACCCAAAAAGGAAACTTGACCAAACACATGATTACTCACACAGGGGAGAAACCATTCAGCTGCTCTGTGTGTGGCGTACGATTCACCCAAAAAAAGTATGTGAGGAAACACATGACCCATCACAAAGAGGGGACTCCCTTCATCATTCAGAGTACTGGGGCGTGGTACTGCTGATGCAGAGTCAATATGAGTGGATCATGACTTGGTTCATGGATGGTATCCAAGGTAACAGCATTGACCAGCCCAAGGATAACTTATATTCTGTATTTCCTCTGTTTCAATTGAAATCAACAGACTTTACAGTTTTATTTTCTGATTAACAATCTTGAATTTAGATGCACTGCGTGCAATTCCTGTAGCCGAATCTAATTTCAGATGTTTTTAGGTCTGATCTGCCAATCCAGATATTTTTTACTTTAAGAACTTTAAATAAAGGCGGGGTAGGCAGGAATCCATTAAAGAAGCCATTTAGTAATATAACGATATCTCTGTGTTCTCTTATGTCTGTGTAGTCAACATTTTAACATTTCAGAGCGGTCCGCTCATTCTGACTGTAAACAAAGCTGTTCTCCACCTCCTCTAACCTGATTGGTTGTGAGGCAGACGCTGCTCCCCCGTGTCGTTCAGGAGCCCAAACAAAGTTTGCGTGCTACAAAATCGGACAGTAGAAACCAACCAGAAAGTTCGGAAAATTGTCTGAATCCTCCTTTGGCCACGACTGCCGACACAAGCAAAAAACAAAGTAAATACTGGAGACTCTGGAGGAATAACGGGCGCTTAAAACGGAGGTAGACCGGACAAGAGCTAAAAAGCCGGGTCAACATAAACGATGGGGGACGCTTGGGGATCTTGGTGACCCTGTAACCTTTCTGCTGGACAGGTAAACCGCTTTAACAAAGTAAGACAAGTGTCTGTAACAGAAGTGTTTCTTGTCAAACGGACCTGCTGTAGCGTGTTGTAGCGCCATCGCTAAACTGTCCTCCCTCGGGTCCTGGACTATGTCACTTTATCCTAGTTGTAGAAGTCCTGCAAACATTGTGTTTGCTGGTAGTCTGTTGGCATCTACAGCAGCACCAATGCTTTTGACTTTCACCTTGACTGGGCCCCATTTGTAATGATCTGAAGTATTTATCTGCATTATATCTGAATTTAATTCGAACAATACGAGCGAAAAGGAGCGTCTGTTTGTGGGCGGGGCTTGCTGGAGCAGAGAGGAGGAGCTGAGGGGAAAACTGGTTGGGAGGAGTAGAGTTTACATTCAAGATTACTCCTAAAAACTGGAACTTCCTCAGATCCTGACTACCCCACCTTTAAGGTAAAAATAATCGCAAACTCTTCTTTAATTTATATTAAATTTTATTTTGTTTATGACACATTCACGTCTGTGATTCTATTTATCGTACAGCCATCATGTGAATAAACCAGAACTGTCATGTGATTCTGTTTAGTCTTTCCTGTGATGTGTCTTCAATAATCATGTGACCCCATGTGGGGTATTTGACTGACCACTGGATTGTGACAGATTTTTCATGGTGCAAGAGTGCCATCTAGAGTACACTGAGTGTCAGTGAAATATCAGTGATTTTTCATGTTTGTAAAGTTCATTTGCTGAAATCTAAGTGTGACTTAAACTTTCTGAAAGTGAAAATTAACCAAATAAAAGAACAAGTAATAATTAAGCTGAAAGTTTGAACAGTTGTAGGATTTTTTCTTTAATTATAAGAAGAGATTCTGAGTTGTTTTTAAATGTTCTTGATACTTTTTTTATCTTGAAGTTTTTCTGTGAATATTGTGTTTTTTTATTAAGTGATTTGCATAATAATCAAGTTTTCAATCTGTCGAGAAATGCCAGAATTTTTGTACCACAATCTAACAATTTTGATGATCAGTGTCTCGGTCTGATTGTATTTTCATGAAGAAATAATAGCCATAAATAATTATAATTATTTATTATAATGATTTTCAGACTTTGACATCACTGAACAATCGTCTGTCCACCAAAGGATCCCAGCACTTTTCTGTGAACTTGTTTCTTAGTGAACATCTACATTTTCAACAGATCACCAACTTTATATCATTTATGGGTTTTTTTTTACAGTAAAATTATGAGTCTTGGTAGGAACCAACTGTTGCATAAATTATGATTACTTCAGGACTTAAGAGGCTCTAGAAAATTAAATTCTTACCGACTTCCCTTGACTTTTATTCTGAAGGCCGCCGCTCGTGTTTTGTTTCCGGGTCTCGCGCGCTTTTAGCATGCGTGAGTTAGCAAGAGTCCAACATAAGAATAATCGGTACACGTTTCTCTCTTCTCTGGCTGTCTGATCGGTGGAAATTGTCTCGATATTTATCGATCTTGTGGATTTATTTGGACCGCGGCTGTTGGCAGAGACCTTAGGAGAAAACCTCCTGTACGAGGACGAAGAGGAACACCTAAAATAACCTCTGGACATGAATATTACTCTTCAGATGAATTCACAGAGGGAAGGTAGGATCTCAATATTGTGCTAAAAAATAGATAATAACAAAATGTTTGAGGTCTGAGCCTGTTAGCTGCGGTTTTCTGTAAATTTATCAGTGTTCTCTCTCTGTGGGAGCTGTAGTGACAATAAATTGACCTCCATCTTAAATTATTCATGAAATCCACCATGTAATATACAATTACTTCAGTTATTATGACCATCCAGTTTTGTTTTTTGGCCTTGCCCCTTCATTTTATAGAGATTTCTCCATATCCTATAAATATTTTAATGATATTATGTACTGTAAATGATGAAAAGCCTAAATTCCTTGCAGTTTCACATTGACCTGCTCATGAAATAAAGACAAAGAACCTCTTTTCATCTTTCCTACAACATTGAGGAAAGATGATAACCTTCAACATTGAAGGTTTTCCTCTTCTGCACTATTTTTAATTAGTGCCTCAGTGAGGAACTTTTGGTTTGTGAAGTTAAGTTTTAAAAAATATACATATTCTGTAGATATCCACAGTATATTATATACTGTAGATATACTCTTCACGCCGACAGGAAGACCGACTGATCAACCAAATAATAATAATAAGAAGAAAACAAATAATATGTTAGGCATCACTATTCCAAGGTTAATGTTAAGATAAATTCAGTCTCTTTTGGTGTCTCCTTGTGTTTCTTCAGTGTGTCCCACTGATGTCCAGCAGCTCTCAGTGATTATCAAAGAAGAACCTCCTGAGCAGCAGGAGTGGAGCTCCAGTATTGACCAGGAGGACACTAAGACCCCATTAAAGCAGATTAAAGAGGAACAAGAGGAACTTTGGAGCAGTCAGCGAGGAATAGAAGAGGCTGATACCTCTGAGTTACCGTTCACTGTTGTCCTTGTTAAAAGTGAAGATGATGAAGAGAAACCTCAGCCTTCAGAGCTTCATCCAAGACAAACTGAACAGATGGAAACAGAAACTAACAATAAGTACTGTGAAGAACCGGAACAAACCAGGAACTCAGATCTGGAACGGCCTTTACAATCAGAAACAAAAGTCAAGACTATGGACTCTTCTGATCATGAGACTGAAGTGGGTAGAGAATATCACCAAGGTTCAAATTCCCCAGAAGACACTGAACAGAACAAAAACAAGAAGTATAAGAAGTCATCACATCTCTGCTGTCAGTGCGGTAAAACCTTCAAGAGAAATGGACAATTAACCCAACACATGATAACTCACACCGAGGAGAAACCATTCAGCTGCTCAGAGTGTGGAAAACGATTCAACTCGAGTGGGAGCCTCATCAATCATCGGCTAGTTCACAGTGAGGAGAAACCGTTTAGCTGCTCTGAGTGTGGGAAAAGATTCAACCATAAAAAGAATATGATCACCCATATGGTAGTGCACACTGGAGAGAAACCCTTTAGCTGCCCTGAGTGTAAGACAAGATTTACTCAGAAAGGAAGTCTGACCAAACACATGTCAGTTCACAGTGGAAATAAACCATTTAGCTGCTCTGTGTGCGGTAAAAGCTTCACTGATAAAGGAAATCTAAATAAACACATTTCAGTCCATAGAGGGGAGAAACATTTCAGCTGCACAGTTTGTGGTCAAAGATTTACCCAAAAAGTAACTCTGACAAAACATATAGTAGTTCATACAGGAGAAAAGGCATTTTGCTGCTCTCAATGCGGCAAAAAATTTGCCCAAAAAGCGAGTCTTGCCAAACACATGACACTTCATACGGGAGAGAGACCCTTCAAGTGTATATGTTGTGAGAAAAGCTTTTACTCTCAAGACAATCTGGACCAGCATATGTTAGTTCACACAGGAGAGAAACCTTTCTGCTGCTCCGAGTGTGGTAAAAGATTTGCCCAAAAAGTGAATCTCACCACACACATGACTGTTCACACCGGAGAGAAACCTTTCGGCTGCTCTGAGTGTGGAAAGAGTTTTACCCGGAAAGAAAGTCTTACCAAACACATGACAGCTCACTCAGGAGAGAAACCGTTCGGCTGCTCTGAGTGTGGTAAAACATTCACCCAAAAACTAAGTCTGACCCAACACATGTCTGTTCACACTGAAGAGAAACCATTCAGCTGCTCCCAGTGTGGCAAAGGTTTTACCCGAAAGGGGAGTGTCATTAAACACATGTTAATTCACACGGGAGAGAAACCATTCAGCTGCTCTGTTTGTGGTAAAAGATTTACTCAAAAAGCAGATATGAGCAGACACATGTCTGTTCACAGTGAGGAGAAACCCTTTATAATCCAGAGTACTGGAGCACAGTGATGTATATTGTAAGGATGCCTAGCCCATGTTCACACTTTAAAGGATGGAAGGTCCACATGAATGATCATTTTGACAAGCTTTACTGGTCTCAGATCTGGGTTACAGCTTCATCATGCCACAAGTGTAACAGAGACTGGTCTGAGACTGTTCAAGTATATTTAGCTGTCCACGTTTCCAAAACGTTCTGCTTGCGTCTTGTTGACCTAAAGTAGAGTCCATGTAGGGTAATAACAAAACATATTTTGGGAGCCTGAGTGATGTTAAACATGGGTACAAGGTCCTGGTCAAGGATGGTTGTTGGAGGCCCGTGGCTCCAGAAATCTAGCACCAAAGTATCCAAGGTATTTGAGTGACAAAGCTCCACCACCCTGAAGGCTGACATGACTCGTTAAAGAAAATCACCCTGACAATGGTGTTCCCGACGAGATAGTCAGGGACTACAGAACATTGTAAGACTGACTGGCAAACGAGAAAGTTATACATCAGTAATCACCACATTTAAGGATCATCAAATATTGTCCTACATCATTTTTTTATGGTTGATGTCTAATTTATTTTCTTAAAGTTGTATTAAAAAAATAAAATTTATATGAATGCTTATGTCTGCTGAAGATCATAACTCTCTGTGTTGTTAATATTATTTTGTTTTTAACTCTGTAAAGAACTTTGAGATTCACTTTCTACCCATAAGGCCTCATAAATCAACTTGCTTTGCCTAAAACAGAAATCGTGTGTTTCAATATTATTTTTTATCATGTCATTTCCATTTATTATTAACATTATTTTCTTAATCATCTTTAATATTGTTCTTATTATTAAGTGGAATAGAGTGGGGTATGAAGACTCCTTGTTATAGCGACACCACTTTTATTTTGAAGGCCAAATGAGTTGACCGTACCTTTTCCGGGTCTCAAGGGGCCTCTGCTGCTAAGTACAGTTAGCATGTGTGAATGATCACCAGGTTTAAGCAGAGTAATAATAGAAAAGGAGTCAGTAATCGTTTTTTATTCCACTTTGAGTCTAATTTCTGTGGAAAATGTCCGGGTTTCAGGATCTTGAAGATCTTTTCAGACGGAGGCTCCTCGCTGCTGCTCACAGAGACCTGGTGGGAGACGGAAAAACACCGTCCGGGTATGAAGAGGAGATCCAGAGACAGAGGAAACTGCTGAGAGTGATTCTAACTCCTGAGATAAAGCTGAGCAGAGCAGGTCTGTTTTCTGTCTTTACTGGAAACTTGTTTTCTGCTCATGTTAGACCTTCTCATGTTAGCAGCAGCGAGCTTCTCTTTAATTATCTGATGTTTTTCTGACTTGTGTGACAGTTACAGTTGGTCCGACTCCACTTCATGTTAATGGTGACTATTTAAAACCTGAAAAGTGGAAAAACTAACATATCTTCATAGTTTACATACAGCTAAAAGTCAAAATGTTCAGTCTTCTAGTCCAAGACAGTCACGTGACAAAATAAATCTGATTAACAAAAGAGCTAAAATGTCCAAAATATGGTGAAGTGGAAGATTAACCCTCCTACTGTCCTTGGGGTCAATTTGACCCCATTCAATATTTATCATTTAAAAATAATACTTGACTTTTGTTTTTTTGCTTCATATTTCATGACTTTTCCGAATTTCATGGGGACTGATTTTGTACACATATTGCATGCATTTGTGTGGGTAGTAGTTGAAAATGCTTTTCTGGTCCGACTTTGATCAGTCGATCTTTCAGTCAGCGTGAAGAGCAGTAACCTACAGTACATCTAAAGAATGTACGTATATTTTTTATGACTCAATAAAAATAAAAAATAAAATATTTAAATTTATTAAGTCATAAAAAATATTAGAAATCGGCCACAACAGTAAAACAGTGACATGAGTGCAAAAAATAATTTGTGCCTTTCTTTAATAAAAGGACCCAAGAGAAATCAAATTTACCTTTCATACCTGTGGTAGTGGTGGGAGAAAATACTGATATGTTAATTTGTCATTTCCCTACCCTGTATGAAACAGATATATACATTAACCTGGTCTAAATATCTGTATCTTATATTAAATTGCTCTAAATAGGTTTCCCTGTCAGCCTGACTCATTGACTGCTAACAGAGCATCCTGATCAGCTGTGATGCTGAGGATTTACCAGCTCACTCTCTCTCTCTCTTCAGCCCAGCAGTAAATGAACATTATGCATCAGTGTAATTTATCATTCAGCGTAACGTTTCCACTCTTGATTCCAACATAAATTCAGTTTCTTTTGATTTCTCCTCATTTTAGTATTTCCTGCCGACATTCAGCTGCTCTCAGTGATTAAAGAAGAGCCTCATGAGCAGCAGGAGTGGAGCCCCAGTCTGGACCAGGAGGACACTGAGACGCTGTTTAAGCACATTAAAGAGGAACGGGAGGAACTCTTGAGCAACCAGGAGGAGGAGGGGGCTGATACCTCTGAGTTACCGTTCACTGTTGTTCTTGTTAAGAGTGAAGATGAAGAGGAGAAACCAGAACCTTCAGAGCTTTATCAAACACAGACTAAACAGATGGAGAAAGAAGATGACAGAGAGGACTGTGAGGGACCAGAACAGGATAGGAACTCAGATCAGGAGAGACCAGAGACTGACGTCAATGTTGAAGACTCATCTGAACCTGAGACCGAGGACAGTGATCATTGTGAGACGAGTGACCGTCAGCCATGTTTGAACTATCAGGAGAACAACAGAAAGAAGAAACCAAAGACAAATGTTAAATCCTTCGGTTGCCCTACGTGTGGTAAAAGATTTTCCCGAAACTATGGTCTGACCCAACACATGATCACTCACACAGAAAAGAAACCATTTAGCTGCTCCAAGTGTGGTAAAAGATTCAATTCTAGGGGAACCATGAGCAATCACAGGTTAGTACACCGTAAGGAGAAACCGTTCAGATGCCCTGTTTGTGGTAAAGGATTCAACTATAAAAGAAATGTATCCAGACACATCTTAATTCACAACGAGGAGAAACCTTTCAGCTGCCCTGAGTGCGGGAGAAGTTTTGCAGATAAAGGGAATCTCGCCAAGCACATGGCGATTCACACAGGAGAGAAACCCTTCAGCTGCTCTGAGTGCGGAGGGAAGTTTACCCAGAAGAGAGGTCTAACCCAACACCTGAGGCTTCACAAGCAAGCGAAACCATTCAAGTGTTCTGAATGTAACAAGAGCTTTCACTTAAAAGGAAATCTGACCAAACACATGTTAATCCACACTGGAGAAAAACCGTTCAGCTGCCCTCAGTGTGACAAAAAATTCACCCAAAAAGCGAGTCTGATCAGACACATGCCGATTCACACGGGAGATAATCCGTTTGGCTGTTTTTATTGTAACAAAGGCTTCGGTTCGAAAGAAAATTTGATCCACCATATGTTAATTCATATAGGAGAGAAACCGTTCAGCTGCTCTGAATGTGGAAAAAGATTTACCCAAAAGGGAAATTTGACTAAACACATGTTAGTTCACACAGGGGAGAAACCCTTCAGCTGCCCGCAGTGTGACAAAAAATTTACCCAAAAATCGAGTCTGATCAGACACATGCCGATTCACACAGAGGAGAATCCGTTCAGCTGCTCGGATTGTTTCCGATGTTTTTGCTCTGAAGAAAACCTGATCCAGCACGTGTCGATTCACGCAGTGGAGAAACCTTTTAGCTGCTCAGAGTGTGGTAAGAGATTTACCGAGAAAGTAAATCTGACTAAGCACATGTCTGTTCACAGAGAAGAGAAACCCTTTATAATCGTGAGTATTTGAGCATGGTGGGGCTGATGCAGAATAACTCAATTTATGAGCTGATGAGAGTGAGAATAATGAATTCTTTATTTTAGTTACTTTAGATTTTACTGCACTGTTAGTTTGTATTACTAGAGATGAGTTATATTTGGGAAATTTATTGGGGTAGTAACTAAGGACATCACTTTGGTTTAGTCTGTACTCTGTCAGAAGAAAAAAATCTGATTTTCCTGAGGTTTGTGGGAAATGTGATGTATCAAGGATTTAATGAATTCTATGACTGTGAGAGACACAATTAAAAAAATAATTCTGTTTTATAAATAAACTTTATTTCACAGATTTTCTGTTGGTATTATATTTTTATTCATTTTCTGAGTCAAGTATGTGCCATAATTTCTTAACCACAGTCTCAGGATAGTGATGAGCTAAACTTCTGTGTCAAAATACTCAATGTTATAAAATCAGAGACATGAGTCAAGGCGGAGTCACTGGAGTCCATACATAGCGGCCATCTTACTCCAGTATACCATTCTGGTCTGCTCTATGGTAGCTGATGGAAGTTGAGTAATCTTCATGATCAAAAAATCCTCTGAACTCGCTGAAACCTTGACAGATTTACAAATGGTTTTGTTCATTACAGATTACGTGGCTATGAGTCAGGATGTTTGGACATATTGAAATGTCAGATTTACTTTAAGAAAATAAAAAAGACTTCATGAAGCACAGTTGTTTCACGGCTATTTGTGCACAAGGGCTAACTTTGAGTCACTTTGTCAAGGCTGAGACCACAATCCAGATTTCAATTTCTTGTATTACAGCCTTTTTTCATCTAAGTGTCAGTCTTTGTGGATGTGCTTGTGTTTATCAGCTGTCTAACTTGGCTAACAGACTCGCTGTGAGTGAGACCAAGTACATAATACAAAGTTGACCCAGTAATTTTACATCAGTTAAAGAGGTAGAAATGCTCTTTAGATTCAACATAACTGAAGTTGCTCATGATTTCCAAACAGTTTGGTTTGTTAAAAATATCTAAAATGGCAACATGAGGCAGAAATTTACATTGAAAATAAATATGTATATATGTTATTGTTATACGTTACCCCTAGTTATCGTTACGTTAGTTATCCCTATAAAAGAAATTAAAAAGAGATTATTATTAATAGAAATATTACGAATATAACATACATGGAATGATTAAATGTTTTATATATGAATGATTGAATATAACTGCCTTATGTGTGTAGGCCTATAGCTATTACTCTACCCATCTGTTTAATGTTTATTTATTTAAATCCATGGTTAAAATTATTCTTGAGTATGCGGGAACACAACTAAAACTCTGAGGTTTGTCACAAACCAAACAGAATCGGTTTGAAATGAATCAATCTATGGTCATTTCAATGTTGTCCAGTCTACCTGCACCGTAGACTGGAATCTTATAAGTGGGCGAGTTGCCTGAAGCAAGATGGCCGCCATGCGCGGACATCTAGCGTTCATATATAGATATCTATGGTCACAGTAATCAGGGTTTTCTCTTCCGGGTCTGGGAGGCCCTCTGTCACAGAATTCAGTCAACATTCATGGATGAACTCGCGTCCTTCCATGAGCTGAAGAATCCCCGAAAACATCTTTTTCAAGAGGAAAATGTCCAAGTTTGAGGATCTGGAGGATTTATTCAGACGGCGGCTGTTCGCTGCGGCTCGTAGAGACTTTATGGAAGAAAGAAAAACACCGTCCGGGTACGAAGAGGAGGTTCAGAGACAGAGAGAGCTGCTGAGGGTGATTCTAACTCCTGAGATCAAACTGAGGAGAACAGGTTAGTATTCACTGATGTTCATGAAGAGGCTGAACCTCGAGATGAAAACATCCTCACACTGATAACTCTGAATGAAAATAAAAATAGATTTCTGAACTCAAAGTTTATTTATTTATTGTCTCATTTAAAGAAGGAGAACCACTGTTAAGTTTTGTTTTTTTGGAAGATTTAGACTTTATCCAAACCATTTTCTCACAGGAGTAAAGTCCTGAGAAAATAACCGCTCTTGTATTATTTTGTACTCATGGTCAGTGCTGCAGCAGCGACCATGAGTGCTGCTGAATGACTTGAAAGGTATGAAAGAATATATACATGAATATAAGTACGAACAGGCTTTAGTATGTACAGGCTATGAACAGATTATACACATGGTTATAAATATGAAGGCTATACATAGCAGGGTTTTTCCTGCGTTCAAAATTGCGTGGCGGCCGCCTCCACCTAATTTTGTGCCGCCCCCAGCCAGAGCGATTGATTTCGCTCAACACAGCGTAAAGCTCCAGCTGTGTTGATTGAGCGATTGATGTCCCGATGCAGCAGCAACGTATTTTAACTGCAGTTGCAGCGTTGCGCCACTATAGGGGCGCTATATCAACAGCAGTGCACCGGAAAGACCTGAAGCATCTACCGAAGAAGAAACGGATCGAATCATGTTTTTTCAAGTGTTTTTCCCGCTAGTTGGTGCTATCGGCGTCCTGATTTTCCCTGGCGGATGGTACAAACAGGTAAATACTGCTTCTCTTTTTTGCATCCAAGCATGTCGTGTTTATTTTAAAAAAAAGTTTACTCCGTTTTTAGCGTTGCAGTTATGACAGGCAAAATCAGCCAGTACTTTAAAAAGCGACCTCGCGAGGAGGAAAGTCAAGAGTCCAGGTGAAACACAGTAGAGATAAAAACGTAACAGGCAGTTAAAATGCTATAATTCATGGTGGAGACAACGTGGAAATTTGTGTCAGGTCTGAAAGTACTTCACAAGGGACTGGTGATCGCGAGGGTCAGAATGCAGGACAGGACGAGTCGGCGAGGCGAGGGTAATTAATTAATTAGTTTCCAATTAGGAGCATAACAACGCAAAGCCGACGTGTACGTGGTTTTTATTCCTCTTTCCAGATCTTCTCAAAAACACAGAGCCAGTGGCTTTGACAAGCAGTGGCTCAATCAATTTACCTGGCTCAGGCATACTGAGGAAGGCATGCACTGCTATTTATGCCAAAAGCACTGTGCCCCAACACAGCAGGCAATTGCTGCGTCCTTAGTGAGACAGCCATCAACCAACTACAGGCTGGACACATTAAAAAGACATGAGGTGACAGCCATTCACAAAGCAGCAGAAGAGAAGGAGAAATATATTAAAGATGGTAGTACCTAAAAAACTCAACTAATAAAGTTACAAAAAATAAATAACATAGTTTAGATAGTTTAAGAAATAATTGGTTGTCGTTTTTTTTTAGGGAGGACACTGCAGCGTATACATATATATGATGGAAAACACTATCACTCTTCATGTCTGTATCAGAATAAAAACAAAAATACTTAATGCATGATGAATTGTTTTGTTTAAGGTGAAGACACCTCTGCGGAACAGACTGAAGGAGAGGCACTTGGATGTCTGTTGTAAGGTGGCCGTTGATGGACCAGACCAGGAGGCCTTGGACTACAAGGAGTGCATGAGGAGGTTCTACAGAATGAAAAAGAGGAGGCTGAAATGTTCTGTCTGGTTGCGAGATGTGTGGATGAAGTGTACTTTCAATTTAAAGTTGCCAGCTGATTTGTGTATGTATATAGTTTTAATAAATGAATGCTTTAACATGATAATGGTCACACTCTTTTTTGAACTCTTAACTTAAAGTATGTTGCCTGTAAAAGTAAGTGAATCGGTTGAATTTACAAATACATGCACGTCGTGGCGCACGGTCAGGATGGTGCCACCTCTGCCTCAATTTGAGCCAGGAAAAACCCTGCATAGACTATAAATATAAATAACAGATAAATTATGCTGTCGTGCAAATGAGGTTTGAAAGGTTTCTAAGTTGGTTTACAGATATAGATAGATAGATAGATACATAGATACATAGACAGATGCCACACTGTAATGCAGTTGATCAGGATGCTCTCCAGATTATGCAGCGATAGAAGTTCACCAGGATGTCTGAGGACAGGTGGAAGAAGAAGTGCAGCACGTCTTTTAACCAACACCCTCCATCACAGTCACATCACTCCCGTTCTCCTCCCAGTTAACTTCAGGATCATTTTTTAACTTTTAATATTTGTTTTCAGTCATGCTCTTGCTCCAGTATATCTGTCTAACTGCTTCACGCTTAGACGACGCTGTAGAGCCCTCCGGTCCTCAGAACAACTGCTGTTGGAGGTTCCATCTTCAGATTTGAAACACTGGGAGGATCGTACCTTTTCAATAGCAGCCCTGAAATTATTGAACTCTCTACCCCCTGAACTACTTTTTAATAATGAACTGTCACTTTTTAAAACACATCTTAAAACTCACCTATTTAAACTTTTTAATAGCTTTTAATATCTAGTGCTGTTTGCCATTTGCTATTTGATCGTTTCTGTGTTCTCTTACCTTTTCATTGTTATTTGTTATTTATGTATTTGAATGTATAAAGCACTTTGTTCATCTTTCCGGATGTTGTAAGGTGCTATATAAATAAACATTATTATTATTATTATTATTATTATTATTATTATTATTATTATTATTATTATTATTGTGTGAGGGAAACACTGGCTGTGAATCCTCACCTGCACAATCTAAAGTTGCACAAGAAAAGCCAAAAGCTAAATATTTTGCTTCAATGCTTTAAAGTTTAACAGTTCATTTGTTGATTAATTGATTGATTGATCAGATTGATGTCTAAGAAAATAAACAAGTTTCCATAATTTATGATCAAGAACAACATGACCATCATTAGTTTAAACTTCTTCTTGTGTCTTCTTCTGTTTCTAGTATTTCCTGTGGATGTCCAGCAGCTCTCAGTGGTTAAAAAAGAGCCTCATGAGCAGCAGGAGTGGAGCCCCAGTCTGGACCAGGAGGACCCTAAGACCCCGTTTAAGCACATTAAAGATGAAGAGGAGGAACTCTGGAGCAACCAGGAAGAGCAGCTTCAAGGCACGGAGGAAACTACTGAGTTACCTTTCACGATCGTCACTGTTAAGAGTGAAGATGAAGAAGAGAAACCAGAACCTTCAGAGTTTTATCAAACACAAACTGAACAGCTGGAAACTGAAGATGACCGTGAGGACCAACAGGGAACAGAACAAGCTAAGAACTTAGATTTGGAGAGACCAGAGACCAAAGTCAAGACTGAGGACTCATCTGAACTTGACTCTGAAGACAGTAATAATAATCCCAAGGAGGTTGGAGATTATCAGCCATATCCAAAACCTCATGAAATCATCGCAGAGAATGAACCAAAAAAGAATAAGAAATCCTTTTGTTGCCTTCAGTGTGGAAATACATTTAAAAGAAACGGAAATCTTACCAAACATATGTTAATTCACACAGGGGAGAAACCCTTCAGCTGCACCACCTGTGGTAAAAGATTTGCCCGTAGTTACAATCTGACACAACACATGTCAGTTCACACGGATGAGAAACCATTTAGCTGCTCTACATGCGGTAGAAGGTTTAATTCAAGACGCGGGATGATAAACCATCGGTCCGTTCACAGTGAGGAGAAGAAATTTAGCTGCTCTGCATGTGGTAAAAGATTTAATTATAAGAAAAGTGTCTCCAGGCACATGTTAATTCACGCAGGGGAGAAACCCTTCAGCTGCCCCGTTTGTGGGCGAAGATTTACAGAGAAAGGAAACCTGACCAAACACATGATTGTTCACACCAGAGAGAAACCTGCGAGTTCCTCTGAGGACGGAAGCATCCATGAGGAAAATCTGTCCGAACACGTGTCGGCTCACGGTGGAGAGAAACCCATCTGCTGCTCCGAGTGTGGCGCAACATTCACCCAAAAAGGAAGTCTAAGCCAACACATGAGACTCCACACAGGAGAGAAACCGTTCAGCTGTTTCTGGTGCTGTAAAAGCTTTCACTTCAGAGGAAACCTGACGCAGCATATTTTAGTTCACACAGGCGAGAAACCGTTCAGCTGCCCCCAGTGTCACAAAAGATTCGCCAGAAAAACGGGTCTGATCAGACACATGCCGATTCACACAGGAGAGAATCCTTTCTGCTGTATTTACTGTCCCAAAAACTTTTACTCAAAAAAAAACTTAAACCGACACATGATGAGTCACACCGGGGAGAAACCCTTCGGCTGCTCTGAGTGTGGGAAAGGATTTACCCAAAAAGGAAATTTGATTCGACACATGTCTGTTCACAGTGGAGAGGAAGCTTTCATCATCGAGAGCACTGAAGTGTGAAGACACACAGTTTGTCTCCGCAGACGTTTAGGATATCACTGATTAGAGTTTTAAAAATGTGTAATACCGTACAGACACAAGACAAAACACGACACAGAAATAGGAGTGCGCTCTATGAGCCTGAGACTATTTAAGATAGGAAATGAGAAATGTATTCATGGTGTTTTCCTACCACATCTTCTGACCAAAGTTTGACAAAAGTGTCTGAAGTTCACTCTTCTGCAGGGACCACCTACTCTAGATGTCCTCTTCATCATCGTAGCACCTGTGACATAAGTTTAGGCCATAAAGTTTTTAATGCACTTTCTGGACCCACCCACAGTCAGAGGCACAAACTTTGGACTTAGTCATTTTAACCTCGTCTTGTCGATTTTTCAGTCGTTGCATTTTTTAATGTAAATCATCTGACAACCTCATAATTTCAGATAGGTAACAGAAAAAGTAAGATGCTGCTTGAGCTTCGATTCTGGTAGAGGAACAGTAAATCCTGCGTTGAAATAAATGTTTAATTAATGTCAAAAATGTTACTGTTTGAAGACAAACTGACATTTAAATCAATATTTTTACCAGTATAACAGCGTTAAATAAGAAGTTTAGCACTAATGAGGAATCCTACATGAGGAAACTTAGGTGAGAGTTGCTGTTTTCCCTGAAAATGACCAGAGTGCTTTGTTTTCATGAGGCATAATGTTGCTCATGGATAGTAAAAGCAGAATTTCTTGTCACGTCTAAATAAAACATAATAAAATGTGTTGTTGCACCTGAATTCAGAAGGTGTCATAGTAAAGCAGATGATCATTTATGTTCCATAAAAGATGTCTGGATCGCTTCTGTTCATGGCATCATCAGTTGATAATCCTGAGGACATCTTGGACTGAAAACATGAGAATTATTGACAGTATTGCACTTCATTTTATCATGAAATCCACAATAAAACAACAAGAAAAGAAAATACAGGCCAGTTAATTCTTCTTCTTCACAGTCATGAGTGAAAATATCAACAAAGGTGAAGAGTTCTTGTCTGCTGTCGGCAGAATTATTAATCACGCTAAAGTCCAAACGGAGGGGCAGTCTTGGGAGTGTCTGTGATGTGCCTGTTCTGCATGTTTTGATGTATGTACAATATAAATATCTCAAAACATCTCATGTTTGGTATTTTGTAAGCTGAAGTTATTTTTCATTTTCTGTATTTCAATGTGTTGTAATTGTGCCATGTAACTAAAGCTTGGCTTGACTTCCATATGACACACAGTCCAAAATAAAACAGGCCTGGAGTCGGGGACCATGGTAATTATGCACAGGGAATATTAAAGTGCTGAATGCTAAAGGGCAGATTCCTAGCTTGTATTGATGTTATTATAAAAGTCATATTTATTACTGTATTTTATTCTGTTAATTACTCCTTTTGCCAGCTAATAAATGCTCCATCAGTCACCTGTCGTTTGTCTGTACATGTTCCTTTCAAGCACAAACTGCAGTCCTAGTTCCAGACAAGTTTGATCACTGTGGTGTAAAATGTTGATGAAAATAGATTTTGATGGTTTGCACTTCATTTGATCCATGTTTAATTAACTGAATGACCATATCACTTAAAAAAACAAGTTATTTTGCAAAAGGTCAGTTAATGACAGATGCTATCGCTCTTTGAGATTCTGTATGAGCAACAATTTCAGAATAAAGTTCTTTAAATGATGACAAATTCAGGGACGTAATCATTTACAGCCCATTATGTCATTACGAGAGTAAAACAACATTATTGGACGCTTACTAAACACCCTGATCAGTGTGGGCAGGCTGAAACTGTCCAGCCTGTGTTGATGGATTGTGGAAGACATGAGGAGGAAAGAAAGGACAAAGACAGCAGAAGAAGAAGAAGAAGCCAGGATGGAGCTCAACATGGGGAAGCTGCTAGAAACAGAGTCAGAAGTTCTGCTCAAGCATTTAATGGCATATTTGAAAGATACAGGGTCAATGGAGAGGATCTACTTTTCTTTATCTAGGATTTTTTTTTTTGGTCCTGTCCTACACTACAGTTCTCCAGTAGGTGGCGGTAGTGCACCTTCAAGTTGGTTTGCCAACCGAAGAAGATATTCTGTTTTGTTTCCGGGTCACGGAGCTGTTCGTATATTTACAGATGAGTGAGCATCTCTATACGAGCAGACTGACCGTCGATGAGATGACAAACTTCCACTTTTCTTTTTCCATTTTTGACTGTTGAACTTGAGGAAGATGTCCGGGTGTCGGGATGTTAAAGGTTTATTCAGAGAGCAGCTGTTTGTCTCTGAACCAACAACAACTCTGTCCGGATATGAAGAGGAGGAGGATCACCAAAGTAAAGAGCTGAGAGGGTTTCTGACCTTTTCTGTGGAGGGGAGAGTCTGTTTATCTGAAAACTTGATTTCTCTGAATGTTTTATATCCTCACACATCGTGTTAGCAAACTTAAGGGTCTTTCTCATATTAACACTCAGGTACTTAATTGGCTGTCTGAGAAAACACTGTAATAGGAGTACATCTTTGTCTTTGAGGATACAATGATCAGTCAGTTTGATCTGCTCCTGTGAAGGACCGATCACCCCTCCTGTGAAAATTATCATCTCTGTTTAATTTCCATCTAAAGTAGGGTTGTCTTTGGTACTTTAGTTCAACTAGGGCTGTCAAAACTGGTCCAAGAATGAGGAGAATTTAAGTGCGCATGTCATAGACTGTCTAAAAGTCTCTTTTCTAATTCAACTTTATTTTTATGACACTTTTCAGACAAAAAGATGTAGTTCAAAGTGCCTCAGAGGCTAAAACAACAATAAAACAACAATAAAACCCGACTCACCCACACACACACACACCCATGGACCCACACATACACATGTACACACAAGTGCACACAGAGTGAGAATTTAATATATATTGTTAGAGACATGGCCTGACACTGAGACATTACGTGAGGAAAGAGCTACCTTTAGGAAACACTGGAGATAAAAGATAAAAATGGTGAAAAGAGAATAAAACCTGATGGACTAAAACAAGAGAATAAAATGAACAGATAAGTAAGAGCTCTTTACTGCAGAGCTCTTTAACAACTGATACAGCTTTAAATAATGCAAAGATTTGACTGTCAACCTTTAAAATCTGCTCTGGACTTTTTGGGGGTATATAAAAATATCATCATAAAATATCACAAACGTAAGATGAAGTTAAAACATGAACTCTAAGCTTCTTTTTTTTTTTTTGATTTTCAGTGTTTTCCACAGAGGTCCAGCAGCTGTCTGGGATAAAAGAAGAGCCTCCTGAGCAGCAGGAGTATGGCTCCAGTCTGGATCTGGAGGACACAAAGCTCCTCGACATTAAGGAGGAACAGGAGGAACTCTGGAGCAGTCAGGAGGGAGAGCAGCTTCAAGGGCTGAAGGAGGCTCACTTTCAATTCACTCCTGTCTCAGTGAAGAGCGAAGGTGGTGAAGATGAGCTTCACCAAAGACGAACAGATCACATAGACACACACAGTGAGAATTGTGAAGGACCAGAACCAGCCTGGAACTCAAATCTGGAAAGACATTTACAACAAGTGACTGAGGTTGAGATTGAGGACTCTTCTGAACCTGAGACTGAGGACAGTGAGGATTATTGTAAAGACACAAAAGACCGCCAGTCAGGATTAAACATAAAGGAGATGAGCCCAAAGACGAGCAAAAAGCTGCACAGCTGCTCTCTGTGTGGGAAAACATTCAAAAGAAACAGGCGTCTAACGAAACACATGATTAACCACACACGAGAGAAACACCTCAGCTGCTCTGAGTGTGGGAAAACATTCAAAAGAAATGGACATCTAAACAAACACATGATTAATCACACAGAAGAGAAATGCCTCAGCTGCTCTGAGTGTGGGAAAACATTCACCCAAAAGGGAACTCTGAACAGACACATGATAACTCACACAGGCGAGAAACCCTTCAGCTGTTCATGGTGTAACAAAAGCTTCTACTCCAAAGAAAATATGACCCAGCATATGTTAGTTCACACAGGAGAGAAACCCTTCAGCTGCTCTGTGTGTGGCAAAAGATTCACCCAAGGAGGAAATCTGGCCAGACACACCTCAGTTCACACAGGAGAGAAACCCTTCAGCTGCTCTGAGTGTGGTAAGAAATTTACACAGAAAGGAAATCTTACCCAACATATGTCAGTTCATAGAGAAAAGAAACCCTTCAGCTGCTCTGTGTGTGGTAAAAGATTCAAAGAAATGATTTATCAGGTTCGACACATTAGAATTCATCGAGAGAAACCCTGAGAGAGGTCCGATCATGAACTGAATTCACATGGCACAACAGAGAGGAAATCCAGTTTATCAAATGGTCAGGTTGAAAACACATTTGTTTGATGTTTTTATTATTTTGTTGTTTTGACTTTAGAGTGTCTGTGAAGCTACACAATCTGTTTGTATTACTGTAAATAAGTTCTACACGAAGAAACCAGCTCAAGATTAGAGATACTTTATGGCTTTGAATTATGCACTTATAATGTTTTAACTAATATCTGTAGATATATTCCTAATATTATGAATTTGAGTGAATTGTAATGAAGTGTGTGGGTGCAGTAGTGTGTTGTGTCTTTGCCTCGAACCAAAAACGGACAACTTTCATCTTGATTTTATTACATTTTTAACTGATGTAAAACTACCGGGGTCTACTTTGTATTATGTACTTGGTCTCACTCACAGTGAGTCTGTTAGCCAAGTTAGACAGCTGATAAACACAAGTGCGTCCACAAAGACTGTCACTCAGACTAAATGAAATATAGACTGTCATACAAGAAATTAAAATCTCAACTATTGGCTGTAATCTCAGCCTTGACAGCTTGCGCAAAGCGACCTAAAGTCAGCCATTTCAATATGTCCAAGCATCCCCACTCATAGCCATATCATTAAGGTCTGTAATAAACTAAACCATTTGTAAATCTGTCATGATTTCAGCGAGTTCAGAGGATTTTGGATCATGAAGATTACTCAACTTCCGTCAGCTACCATAGAGCAGACCGGAATGGTATACTGGAGTAAGATGGCCGTGTACGGACACCAGTGACTCCGCCATGAGTTATCTAGCCTTCCTTATATATGTCTATGGTGTGATTTAGATATACTGTATACTCAGATGGGTCTAAGGATGAAAATGAGAGAGTGGGCATAGGAATACATATACCCTCAATGAACATTAATATTGGAAATAGGATACCTGATAAGATCTCAGTATATACAGCAGAAATGATGGCAGTCATCATGGGGCTACAGTGGGTAGAAGAGGTAAGACCAGACAGGGTAGTATTTTGTGTAGATTCAATGGCAGTCCTTCTTAGTTTACAAACTACAACTTCTGACAGGGAAGACTTAATGCTGGAAATTCAGCAAAATTTGTATAGATTATAAAGGACTGGGATAGAAGGGAAATTTTGTTGGGTGCCTGCCCATGTGGGTGTAAAAGGCAATGAAGGAGCAGATACAGGACACACGGACAGCCACAGTGGATTATCTGAAGGAGACAAGATTGTATTATAGAATTAAGGGTAAGTGGCGTTTTTTTGTTTGTTTTTTCTTATGTATTTTTTCTATTACCTAAATGACATAAAGTAACTAGTAACCCATGCTACATACTCCGGTACAGTAGGTGGCGGTATGCACCTAATAAGCTATGGTTGCAACCCGCCAGAAAACCAAAAGAAGAAGAAGAGAAGCGTGTTTTTATTTCCGGGTTAGCAGAGCTCTGTTAGCATGTAGGGTTAATCTTGTGTCTAAACGAGCGGAGAATTGAAAAAAGGACTTTGACCGTTTACTTTTTTACTTTTTATCCACTTTGGGTTGTTTGGAGAATGTCCGGGTTTGAGGATCTGGAGGATTTGTTCAGTCGGAGGCTCCTCGCTGCTGCTCACAGAGACTTTATGGACCAAACATCACCGGCCGGGTATGAAGAGGAGCTTCAGAGACAGAGAGAACTGCGGAGAGTGATTCTAACTCCTGAGATCAAACTACAGAGAGCAGGTCAGTCTGATGGAAATGTTTTAGTGAGCTGAACCTTTAATAACCCTCACAGCAGACAGACACCCTGAGTTACACTCTTTACTGTATGTTATAATACACTCCTGATCGATATCTTTGAGGACGTAATTTATTGAAAACAACAATTTAACTGAAATAGTCCGTTCATCAGCTGATCACAAGTTTAATACCACAGCCTTCAAAAGCCCAAATCTGTGTGAAAATTTGGATTCCATGAGGTTTATAAAAATGGACGTCACTTCCAGACAGTGGACGCCCTTCATGAAACCATCTTCACCACTTGGAGCAACATTCCCACTGGCCTTTTGGAAACACTTGCATCGAGCATGCCAAAACGAATTTCTGAAGTAATCAACAATAATGGTGGAGCTCCTCATTACTGAGTCTGTTTTTGACACTTTAATTTCTGTTTCAGGACGTGTTGAGGTTTTTTGAGCTGTGGTCTTAATGATCAGCTGATGAACAGACTATTTCCGTCAAATTCTTGTTTTCCTGCTCAAAACTTTTGGTTTCTTGTTCCCATTTCTTCTTTTTGCATTTTGAAGCTCTGCGAAGAACCGTCTTAAGGTCCAACAGTCCTAAATATAAATTCTTGCCATTTTTTAACTGGTCCTAAGATTTTGATCAGGAGTCTATTATCCTGTTACCTGACAACTGAGTCAGAGTTAAGATGTCCTTGTTTTAAAAAACAGAGAGCAGCAGAGATCAGGATGCACCAATCCATCTCTTTAAGTCCCAGTACTTCTACTCAGGTATTGTTATTTACCTTTGCCAACACTGACACTCAGTTTTACTCTGATGTTTGTGTCTTTCTTAAGTGTTTCCTACAGATGTCGGACAGCTGTTAGTGATTAAAGAGGAGCCGCCTGAGCAGCAGGAGTGGAGCTCCACTTTGGACCAGGAGGACAGTAAGACCCTTCAAATAAAAGAGGAACAGATTGAGTTTTGGTGCAGTCAGACAGGAGAACAACTTCAAAAAATGTATGAGGCTGATACGGTTAAGTTCCCAGGGTCCCCAGTCCCTGTTAAGACAGAAGACAAGGAAGAGAAACCACAGTCTTTAACACTTTATCAAAGACGAACTGGACCAATAGAACCAGGAGTGGATAGAGAGTACTATAAGGGACAAGAACCAACCAGGTACTCAGACCTGGAGGGACATTTACAATCCGGGACTGTGGTGAAGACTGAAGTGTCTTCACAACCAGAGACTGGAGACAGAGACGATAAATGTAGAGAGACTAGAGATCATCATCCCGGTTTAATCACTCTGGAAAACACTGAACAGACGAGACCAAAGAGAAAAAAGAAACAACGCAACTGCTCTGTGTGTGGTAAAACATTTAAACAAAACATACATCTCACCAACCACATGATGATTCACACCGGAGAGAGACCCTTCAGCTGCTCTGAGTGTAGCCTGAGATTTACCCAGAAAGGAAGTCTGACCAGACACATGACAGTCCACATAGAAAAGAAACCCTTCGGCTGCTCTGTGTGTGGTGAGAAATTCACTCAGAGAGGAAGTCTGACTCAACATTTGGCAATTCACAGAGGAGAGAAACTATTCAACTGCTCAGTTTGGTGAAGGATTTACTCAGGAAGGAAATCTAAACGGAGGAGAGAGACCGTTCAGCTGCCCCGTTTGAGGAAAGATTTACTCAGAAAGAAAACGTGACCCATGACTTATTCTTTGATCCACACAACATTTTTCTGTAGCAGTATTTTTGATCCCTTTTTTTTTATTCTTACATTTGTTTGACTTCTTTGCTGACCGTGATGTTTCTGATCACAACTGTGAAGGACTCACTTTGAGTTTTGCTTTTACGTTGACCCGGTGTAGTACCGTATTTTTCACACTATAAGGCACACCATCAATGAACGCGTCTATTTTCATACATTAAGGCGCACCGGTTTATAAAGCACATTAAGCCAAACAAAACAGTCACAGAAGTCCAACTTTATTGAACTCATTCACTAACTCCGCGAGGCTACTGTAGCTGCAGTGCTCCAACAAGCTAAAAGGATTTTAAGTGCATCTTATAGTGCGAATAATACGGTAAATGGAGGGGTACTGGATTAAAGGTTAGAGAGGTCTGGCTGGAGAAAAATTTCAGGAGCGATTTCTGTGAAATGACAATAATGAACTTAGGATAAGATCCAGAACCTCATGTTTGAAGCAGCCAAATGCTTTGCTTTTAGGTAGACAAGAACCAATGGTCAAATCCGATAAATAAAGTGGTTCTTACCAAACCTGCATTTAAAAACTGAGACTGTATCTGAATTCACTGATCTGAGTGTTGACTGAACTCTTACAGGTACATGTCATCCTCCTTTTCCAACATTTAACACAGCCCCCTGTGGTCTTAATGTAAAGCAGAGCTTGGGTTAAATGGAGTATGGAAACATAAATATGAGCTTTAATCAGCCTTTCCTACAACAGTCTATTTGACCATTTCTACTCTTGCTACATGAAAAATCCATCACTTTCATTCATTCATGTTTTTTGGGTCTTATTCTGGTCCTCTTGAAATCATATGGTGTTGGAATAATTTTAATTAAGTTTAAAAAGTTTAAATAAATGATTACTTGTTCTACCCTAATGGTCTGAGCTGATTAATATAATCTAGAAAAAAAACAAAGGGTTTAGGAGATAGATTTCTATATTTCTTGAGTGATGTTTTTGGTTGTGTCCTCACTGAAATGTATCAGGGTCTGCAGGAACTTCAGCTGCAGCTGTGTGTTCAGTCTGACTGAGGGAGGTTTTTGTACGACACTTTTTCACTGTGTGAACACCCACTGACTGTTGATGTGGTGTTGACTCTGACAGTAGTAAACTGCTGCATCTTCAGTCTGGACTCCACTGATGGTCAGAGTGAAACTAGATCCAGATCCACTGCCTGAAAAACGACTTGATATCCCTGATAACAGCTGATTGGTATACTTAATGAGGAGTTTAGGAGTTTCTCCATCCTTCTGTTGGTACCAGGCTAAGTAGTTATTGCTAAACACATTCTGACTGACACTACAGCTGATTTCTGCAGTTCCTCCTGGAGCAGAGCTCACAGCTGCAGGCTGAGTCACTGTGATCTTTCCTCTGGACTCTGAGGATACAGAGACAAACACAGAAAGCAGCGTCATGGTTTTGTGGGCTTCATTTCAGAGGGACGGATGTTCATAGAGGAGAGGAGTTGGATTCTCTGGACTTTACCTGTGAAGCAGCAGCAGAGGAGAGTCCAGATGAGGACGCAGATCACAGTCATGTTTCTGATCAGGAGGAGGAGGAGGATTTCTGTGTCTTCTGTTGTGATGAAGGACAGCTGTCAGTCATCCGGTCTTCAACTCTCAGGACTATAAAGTCTCCCAGAGCACTGGAGCATGCTGCTGCTCATGCAAACTCACTCTCTATGGAAATGCTCAGATTAACTCCAACAGGGCCTTAGATTATAGACATGATGATGATGATGATGATGATGATGATGATGATGATGATGATGATGTTCAATAATGGATCAATCAATTCATCTCCTGATTGATCAAACAGCTTTCCTGACTTGTATCATGAAGGTTTAGGTTTGTTCTTCTTCATCCATCTATTTGGAGAGATTTCTTAAGTCTCAGCCCGATGCTGAGGACAATGAATGTCAACTATTCAGTAAATCAATAAAGATCTTCAAAAACTGGATTCATTTAAATGGACTACATTGAATTCTCTGCTTTCATTGGAGCTCAAAGCTCTTGCAGACAGAGACACATTTAGGTGACTTTGTTTGTGTCAGAGTCAGAGAGCCGTGTCTCTCTACAGTCAGAGGTTTTTGTACGGCGCCTCAATGACTTTGTATCACTGTGGTACACGTTCGGTGGAGGAACCAGACTGGATGTTAACTGTAAGTCAAATATAAAGTCTTTTTCTTTGTTTCTGAAGCTTCTTTACTTTTCATTTAAATCTGTAGGACAAAAGTCACTTTGCTTTTTTATTTTAAACTGATTTTTTTAAGAGAAAACATAAAAATGTCACTTTGGATTGAAGAGGTACTGAAGAAAAAGTCATTTCAGATTTTGAAGTGGGGCTCATCTTTTCCTACAAATTTACTATTTAATCTTCAGACTTGAGTGAAGAAAGTTGGATCCTGAGGGCTGGTAGGTTTAGTTCAGTCAGAGTCAGAGAGCCGTGTCTCTCTACAGTCAGAGGTTTTTGTACGGGGCCTCAATGACTTTGTATCACTGTGGTGGACTTTTGGTGGAGGAACCAGACTGGATGTTGACTGTAAGTCCACTTTTGATCCTTTTTATGATATTAGTCACTTATTTTTCCTTCGTAGACGTTACTGATGGAAACTAATGTGATCATTTTCTTTTGCGATGCATGTTTTTAGAAAGAGTGTAAAAAAAGTGGAGCTGATAGGATTGAGGTTTTAGAAGAAGACAGAATCTCTTCAGACTGATTGAATAAATCCGAGCAGAATGATCCTTTTCAGATCAGGATGGTTTTTAACTCTCATGGAGGAGCTGATCGATCGAGTTCAGTCCGAGTCAGAGAGCCGAGTCTCTCTACAGTCAGACTTTTGGAGGAGCTCAACTTGAAGTCTTGTGCTCTTTTTCACACCATCAAATCTTCATCTTACACTTTGTTGGTCGCAGCAAAGAGTTTCCCGCTTCAGGTTTTATCTTTAGGAGTGAAACCTGTCTGTTGCTACGGTTGGGCGGTGATAGCTGTCCGTTGCCGTGGTTACTGAGATGAGAGAGGGAAGTGAAAGACAGCAGTTTGAGGCCATGTGAGGACGAGCGTCAGAGCAGAGTTTTGTTTTCCTGACTGAGTGAACTTTCTTCATGTGGTCTCTCTGTAAGCTCTCTCAGTGGGTCGAGTGGTCCCCACCCTGACGGTGCTGCCCCCCTCCGAAGAGGAGCTGCGACAGCAGGGCAAGGCCACGCTCATGTGCCTGGCCAACAAGGGCTACCCCTCAGACTGGACTCTGACCTGGAAGGTGGACGGCAGAAGCAGCAGCAGCGGGGAGGAGAGCAGGAGCCCCGGGGGGCTGCAGAAGGACGGCCACTACAGCTGGAGCAGCACCCTGAGGCTCTCTGCAGACCAGTGGAACAAGGTGGTCTCTGTGACCTGTGAGGCCACCCAGGGCTCCCAGACTCCGCTCTTACAGACCCTGAGGAGAGACCAGTGTTCCCAGTCCTGACTCACTGGGACTCTGCTCCTGCTTGAAGTTTGATCCTGCTCTCTCTCTGTTTCTCTCTCTCTCTCTCTCTCTCTGAGTTCACAGCTTTAAGCACAAACATTCAGCAGCTTCTTGTTGTCTTGAATTTTCACAATAAAAGTTTCTTGATCAATTCAGTTTTTCTGTTTTTCTTATTTTATCAGGATGAATGTTTGTGACTTTATTTCATCATGATGGTGTCAGTGACTGCAGGAAATTCACTGAACAGATCAGCTGACTGTGACCGTGAAATTTATCCAACTGAGAAAATTAAAAACTCACTTTGATTCAACTCACACTTTTCAAAATAAAAGTCTTGCTTTCTTTGCCGTTTATTCACAGAATAAAAATCTTCATCAAATCAACGAGTCAGTCTCATTTTTCATCTTTAATGTTTCAAGTCTTTACAGACTCCTTCAGACAGAAACAAACAAAGAAAAACTGAGTTTGTCTCATTTAGGATGAGCTGAGAAAAAGAAGAATTTAGTGTCGATGAGAAAATATGAGCTGAAAGAAAACTTTGAAATGTTTTTTTATTCTCAGTCCATTAAGTTCAACTCATAATCAATATGAACTGAAAATTTCTCCAAAAACACGAGAGAGAAAAACTGGTGAAAACAAAGACTGAAAATCATCCAATCAGCTTTGAGTATTGAGCGGCGTCCATGACGAGGACTCTTATATTGTCAGTGTTCTGATTGTAAAAAATCTCTTTTCATGGAGCTGTTATTGTCTGATGAAACATATGATGATGATGATGATGATGATGATGATAAAAGCTGATATCATCAGCATAGAGAGAAATCAAATCACTGCTACTGCACTTTCAACAAATATTCCTGTTTTAGATTTAGAGAATATCATCCAATTATGACTCTGAATAACACTATCATGTACAATAGTATTACAATAATAAACAATAATATTTCAGTTGGACCATATGGATCCATATTTCTGTTTTTAATCTTCATCTTTGACTTAAATTTATCTGAAATAATGACTTTATCAAGGCAATGAAACAAAAGATTTTCAAAGTAAAATGTCAAATACTTGAAATATTTGGACCTTTCTCTCTAGATCTGAAAGAAGATTCAATCAATAAACAATATTCATCATGTGTCATATTATATGGTAGTATTTGGATGAAAATCTGATTAAAAAAGGACAATTATTCTGAATGATTGGATTATGAACAGAAGACAGAGGAGGATTTGGGCTGATTTTGAGACTCTCAGATATTTGTCAATGAATTCAAGGAATTACTGCAGCTTTTAGTCACATTTAAACTACAAATACAAAGATGTTATATATTTAAAATAGACCTGAAGATTTCTACAAAGTTTAACCTTCTCAGTTCATCTTCATTGGAGACACAGAGCTTTGAAAGCAGTGATCTGTGCTCTACAAGCAGATGTTCAGTCAGATCAGTTCCTCTTTAACTGAGGGGGTTTTTGTACGACGGTTTTTCACTGTGTGAACGAGGTGTAATCCTGCTGACAGTAATAAACTCCTGAATCTTCAGCCTGGACTCCACTAATGGTCAGAGTAAAGTCTGATCCAGATCCAGATCCACTGAAACGAGCTGGAACTCCAGACTGACGGCTTAAAGCAGCATAAATCAGGAGTTTAGGAGCTTCTCCAGGTTTCTGAAGGTACCATTGGAGATTGTTACCAACATATGAACTGGTCCGACATTTGATGGAGACGGTCCCTCCTGGAACCACAGACTGAGACCCAGGAGTCTGAGTCAGGAGGATTTGTCCTGATGAAGCTGGAAAAGATGAAAAAGAGGAGAAGGTTATGGAGACAAATCCAGCTTAGAGAAAGATGAACACCATCCAAACACAAGAGTCTCATTTCTTTAAGATGGAGAGAGAAGATGGAAGAAGGTCAATGCTGCTTCTTCAAGTTGTTCTCCATCAGAGCAGAACTTCATTGTGGTCAACCTGGTCTCACCCTGAACAAGGAGCCCCAGGGTGAGCAGAAGCTGGATCAGGGACATCATTATTGTGCTGCTGCTGTGTGGCTGTCTCTGAAAGGTCTGGAAAGGGGATCAACACGGTCCTCTTAACGTCTGAGAGCAGAGAGGAAGGACAGATATGCAAACACACACACACACACACACACACACACACACACACACACACACACACACACACACACACACACACACACACACACACACACACTCAAACTGGGAAACCATCTACAATGACAACATGAATATTACACTGTCCAATAAAAGTACACAACAACAACAACAACAACAAAACTAAAATATAAGTTTTACTTTATTTTCAACCTTCAAAAGGTGATTGATACCATTAACTATGACATACTAATCAATAAACTGGAACAGTATGGGATCAGAATGTGGCCTTGGATTGGTTAAGGAGCTCCTTTAGTGACAGAAACAGTTTGTGAAACGTCAGGATTTTTGTTCCCTGTGTTTGAATATTTCAGACGGTGTACCCCAGGGGTCAGTATTGGGCCCTTAATGGATTATTCTGTATGTAAAAGACATCTGCAAAGAATCACTTTGGTTAAATCCATTATTGTTTATGGATGGATGGATGGATGGATGGATATATACATAAGGTCTTCACTTTTGTCATTACATGTTCCAGTATCAATCAATCAATCAATCAATCATCCAAAACACTAAGGTCATCTGAGTCCAGGCTTCTTTTTACCTCAGGGTTGGATACTGACTGTAAATTATCTGTTTATTGGTGTTTTTCTGTGTTTCACTTCAGTTTAGTCCTTCATTGTTTGTTCTTGTTTTTATGATCACTCTTTGTTTTCACTTTTTTCATCTTTTTTGAACTTTTCAAAGTTTTTAAATAGTTTGTTAAAGTCTGGAGTTACTTTTGGAGATTATTTTGAACAACAAATCAGTCATATTTACTGATCTGTCTAAACTCGTTTTGTAAAGACATTCACTGCAGCAGGAGTGATATTTTAGATGTTAGTTTTGAAACGGGAGATAAAGTTATAGTGTATCTAAAAGTAAAACCCAAAGTTTATCATGTAATTTACATAAATTATAAGGTTTTTCATCCTGTCTGAGCTGATTCACTGAAGTGTGTCAGTCTCTGTAGAAACTTCCAGCTGTCAGTTCAGTTTCAGTTCAGTCGGACTGAGGGAGGTTTTTGTACGACGCTTTTTCACTGTGTGAACACACCTCCACTGTGATAACTCTGACAGTAGTAAACTGCTGCATCTTCAGCCTGGACTCCACTGATGGTCAGAGTGAAACTAGATCCAGATCCACTGCCTGAAAAACGACTTGATATCCCTGATTCTAGAGTGCTAGCAAAATAAATGAGCAGTTTAGGAGTTTCTCCATCCTTCTGTTGGTACCAGGCTAAACGGTGGTTGTTGCTCCAAACACGCACATTCTGACTAACTCTACATGAGATGGTGACAGTTCTTCCCAGAGCAGAGGTCACTGCTGCAGGCTGAGTCACTGTGATCTGTCCTCTGGACTCTGAGGATACAGAGACAAACACAGAAAGCAGCGTCATGGTTTTGTGGGCTTCATTTCAGAGGGACGGATGTTCATAGAGGAGAGGAGTTGGATTCTCTGGACTTTACCTGTGAAGCAGCAGCAGAGGAGAGTCCAGATGAGGACGCAGATCACAGTCATGTTTCTGATCAGGAGGAGGAGGAGGAGGATTTCTGTGTCTTCTGTTGTGATGAAGGACAGCTGTCAGTCATCCAGTCTTCAACTCTCAGGACTATAAAGTCTCCCAGAGCACTGGAGCATGCTGCTGCTCATGCAAACTCACTCTCTATGGAAATGACTCCTATGAATGGACAAATGCACTCATCAACTCTGCTGCAGGTGTTGTGTCATGTTATGTTCAGGAAAGAAGGAGAGCTGAAAGAGGACACAAGTTTAGTCCAAAGGTGTTTTTAGAGGAGAGAGAGCTCCTGTCTATGAAGGCCTTAGTTTCTGGAGTGGACCATCTCCATCAGTCTGAGGGTCACCTGATCCACTACAGAGAGAGAGATGAAGAAAGAGCTTCAATAAACTTCAGCACAAGAGGTCACTACAGCTGACTACAGTTGAGAAGATGAAACTGATCTCAGCTCTTTCACTTCCCTCTTACTCCAGTAACCATGGCAACAGACAGGCACCGCTGCTTAACCATGACTACAGACATGTTTCAGTGCTATAAAAGAAGTCCTTAGTACCTCTGATAAACCATGAAAAAATAATATAGATTTAAGGTTTTTAATTTTATACACTTTGTAAAAATAAAATAAAACTTTAAAGAAAAACAATTAGCCGACATATTGTTGTGAAAAAGTTTGGAGCTTTTTTAAAGAATTACTTCAGGCTGAAAACCTTTAAAAAAGTTATTATCAAATTCAGAAAAGTCCAATTAACCCACAGAATGAATGTTTTCAACTGAGACATATGAACTGATGTTGTAAACTGAGGTCCCATTGTAAGTAAGCAGGTGTTGTGGCAATGAAACTCTTTTTAATCAATGAGCTTAATGACAAAAGAAGTTTATTGATCTGATGATAGGAGTCATTTCCATAGAGAGTGAGTTTGCATGAGCAGCAGCATGCTCCAGTGCTCTGGGAGACTTTATAGTCCTGAGAGTTGAAGACTGGATGACTGACAGCTGTCCTTCATCACAACAGAAGACACAGAAATCCTCCTCCTCCTCCTGATCAGAAACATGACTGTGATCTGCGTCCTCATCTGGACTCTCCTCTGCTGCTGCTTCACAGGTAAAGTCCAGAGAATCCAACTCCTCTCCTCTATGAACATCCGTCCCTCTGAAATGAAGCCCACAAAACCATGACGCTGCTTTCTGTGTTTGTCTCTGTATCCTCAGAGTCCAGAGGACAGGTCACAGTGACTCAGCCTGCAGCAGTGACCTCTGCTCTGGGAGGAACCGTCACCATCTCATGTAGGACCAGTCAGAATGTATATTATAGCAGTCCGTATCACTACTTAGCCTGGTACCAACAGAAGGATGGAGAAACTCCTAAACTGCTCATTTATCTTGCTAGCACTCGACAATCAGGGATATCAAGTCGTTTTTCAGGCAGTGGATCTGGATCTAGTTTCACTCTGACCATCAGTGGAGTCCAGACTGAAGATGCAGCAGTTTACTACTGTCAGAGTTTTCACTACCCCAACAGTCAGTATGTGTTCACACAGTGAAAAAGCGTCGTACAAAAACCTCCCTCAGTCAGACTGAACACACAGCTGCAGCTGAAGTTCCTGCAGACCCTGATACACTTCAGTGAGGATTCATACACACACTCACACACACACACACACACACACACTTGCAACACACACTAACACACAAACACACAGCAGCCCTCATCAACAATGGTCCAAGTGAACTCCTTAAATCCACCTGATAACTCTGTTTGCTGATGATTCTCTGTTATTTGTTTATAACGACCAAAAACTCTTTTAGTTCTTTATTGAATATTTAATTAGGATTGAGAATTGAGGAGGAGCTGAGACTGTTAAAAAGGACCAGCCAAGTCCTGGAGCGGGCCTATGCTACATCACGGCTGACAGTGCATAAATTGGCCTACCGGTAACACCAACAGACAAATGCCAAAGAACTCTTCAAGGCCAGATCTGCACTCTATTCCAACATCATTAACAATAACCCAGGTAACTCCAAACAACTCTTCACCACAGTTAAACACCTTCTCAAGCCTCAAACCCCTTCACACCACAACCAAACAGTCACACAGTGCAACAAATTCAATGATTTCTTTACCTCTAAAAAACACAATATCCGCACATCTCTCTCTCCAGCCAACAGTTTTGTCCCATCAAATGACATCCCACCTACCACACAACATCTGTCTCACTTCTCCCCCACAATACAGCAGGAGGTCAAGAAAATCTCTCTCTTCAATCCGGCCATGTTCCTGTTAGCCTCAAAACTGCTATTATCAAACCCCTCCTTAAAAAAACCCACTCTTGATCCCGAAGCTTTGTCAAACTACAGACCCATCTCCAATCTCCCTTTCATCTCCAAAGTCCTAGAAAGAACTGTATCCATCCAACTTCATAACCATCTCAAATTAAACAGTTTGTATGAAAAACTCCAATCTGTTTTTTTGTCCATCCCACAGCACCGAGACAGCTCTCATCAGAATCACCAATCATGTTCTGATGACCTCTGACTCCGGCTCCACTTCCCTCCTCATCCTCCTCGACCTCTCTGCTGCTTTTGACACTGTTGATCATCACATCCTCCTTCACCGCCTCCAACACAACAATGGCATTTCTGGCACCGCCCTGAAATGCTTCCATTCATACCTCACAGGAAGGACAGGGTTCGTGGCCCTGGGGGAAGCTAAATCCTGCCCCCACACCGTCACCTGTGGGGTCCCCCTGGGCTCTGTGCTCGGTCCAACCCTCTTCACCATACACATGCTCTCTCTTGGTCGTGTCGTCAGCAGGCATGGAATACAATTTCATTGCTATGCTGACGATACACAACTGTACCTCAAGGTCACTCCCACCTCCTCTGTCACTCACCTAGACTCCTGCCTGGAAGAAATAACGGCGTGGATGAGCGAAAACCTTTTACAGCTGAACACCTCAAAAACGGAGGCCATTCACACCAGTACCCCTCACCAACTCTGTTCCTCACCTATTTCCTGCGCTTCCTTTCTCGCCCACAACCTTTCCCTCTCTCCTTCGGTGACTAATTTGGGAGTCAGGTTTGACCCCTATCTTAGCTTTGACACTCACATCAATCATGTCTGCAAAACCTTCTTCTTCCACTTTCGTAACATTGCCAAACGTCATCCATCTCTCTCCCACCCTGCTGCTGAGAAGCTTGTCCACGCTTTTGTTTCCTCCAGGCTTGACTACCGCAACGCACTCCTCATCAGGATCCCTGGCAAGAGCCTCTAAAGGCTCCAATATGTTCAAAACAGCGCTGCCAGGGTCCTGATGATGGTGCGCAAACTGGAGCACATCTCCCCCATCCTTCACACTCTGTTCTGGCTCCCCATCCACCTCCGCATCGAATTCGAAATCCTCCTCCACACCCATCACTGTCTTAACGGTGCAGCCCCCACCTACCTCACTGAACTCCTCACCCCACAAAACCTCAGCCAGAACCCGGTCAGGCCAAATGAACTGTCTACACCGCCAAGGACACGGCTCAATACTATGGGTGACAGGGTCACTGAGGTTGCTGCTCCCCGTCTGTGTACTACTCTTCCTGATCACCTCAGAGCTCCACAGACGGTGGATGTTTTTAAAAAAGGGCTCAAGACCTTCTGTTTTAGAAAAGCTGTTCCGGGCTGATTTCATTGTCACTCATAGTTAATTTGTGAATCCTGGTCTCCTTGTGATTTTTTGCCCCCGTGTCTTTCGTTCAATTTTGCCTTTGGGATTTTTCAGTTGAACACTTTTGAAAAAGTTTTTGTTACTTTTCATTTAGTTCTTTTAAAATAAATTCTTTGTTCTGCATGTGGGTCCTTTTCTTTTGTTTAATTCGGGCTCATGACAAACTGTAAACTTTTTTAGTTTTTCATCCTGTCTGAGCTGATTAACTGAAGTGTGTCAGTCTCTGTAGAAACTTCCAGCTGCAGCCGTCAGTTCAGTTTCAGTTCAGGCTGACTGAGGGAGGTTTTTGTACGACGCTTTTTCACTGTGTGAAGTACTCATACTTTGAAGCATCAAATACTCCTTTACAGTAGTAAACTGCTGCATCTTCAGTCTGGACTCCACTGATGGTCAGAGTGAAACTAGATCCAGATCCACTGACTGAAAAACGACTTGATATCCCTGATTGTCGACTGCTAGCAAAATAAATGAGCAGTTTAGGAGTTTCTCCATCCTTCTGTTGGTACCAGGCTAAAAGCTGGTAGTTGCTCCAAACACGCACATTCTGACTAACTCTACATGAGATGGTGACAGTTCTTCCCAGAGCAGAGGTCACTGCTGCAGGCTGAGTCACTGTGATCTGTCCTCTGGACTCTGAGGATACAGAGACAAACACAGAAAGCAGCGTCATGGTTTTGTGGGCTTCATTTCAGAGGGACGGATGTTCATAGAGGAGAGGAGTTGGATTCTCTGGACTTTACCTGTGAAGCAGCAGCAGAGGAGAGTCCAGATGAGGACGCAGATCACAGTCATGTTTCTGATCAGGAGGAGGAGGAGGAGGATTTCTGTGTCTTCTGTTGTGATGAAGGACAGCTGTCAGTCATCCAGTCTTCAACTCTCAGGACTATAAAGTCTCCCAGAGCACTGGAGCATGCTGCTGCTCATGCAAACTCACTCTCTATGGAAATGCTCACATTAACTCCAACAGGGCCTTAGATTATAGACATGATGATGATGATGATGATGATCAATAATGGATCAATCAATTCATCTCCTGATTGATCAAACAGCTTTCCTGACTTGTGTCATGAAGGTTTAGGTTTGTTCTTCTTCATCCATCTATTTGGAGAGATTTCTTCAGTCTTAGCCCGATGCTGAGGACAATGAATGTCAACTATTCAGTAAATCAATAAAGATCTTCAAAAACTGGATTCATTTAAATGGACTACATTGAATTCTCTGCTTTCATTGGAGCTCAAAGCTCTTGCAGACAGAGACACATTTAGGTGACTTTGTTTGTGTCAGAGTCAGAGAGCCGTGTCTCTCTACAGTCAGAGGTTTTTGTACGGCGCCTCAATGACTTTGTATCACTGTGGTACACGTTCGGTGGAGGAACCAGACTGGATCTTGGAAGTAAGTCAAATATAAAGTCTTTTTCTTTGTTTCTGAAGCTTCTTTACTTTTCATTTAAATCTGTAGGACAAAAGTCACTTTGCTTTTTTATTTTAAACGGATTTTTTTAAGAGAAAACATAAAAATGTCACTTTGGATTGAAGAGGTACTGAAGAAAAAGTCATTTCAGATTTTGAAGTGGGGCTCATCTTTTCCTACAAATTTACTATTTAATCTTCAGACTTGAGTGAAGAAAGTTGGATCCTGAGGGCTGGTAGGTTTAGTTCAGTCAGAGTCAGAGAGCCGTGTCTCTCTACAGTCAGAGGTTTTTGTACGGCGCCTCAATGACTTTGTATCACTGTGATTGACTTTTGGTGGAGGAACCAGACTGGATGTTGGAAGTAAGTTTCTGTAAATTACTTGATATATGAGTGCTAAAATAATAACCATACTAAGTTTTTTTATGTGTTTTTGAGGCGAACATTTCCTGTGATTCAGAGTATTTCTGCCTTTATGTCAGGTTTACTGTTGAACTGAATTCAGATCAGCTGTACTGAAACAATCTTGAAGCTTTCTTCTCAAAAGTTCAGATTTGAGGTTTAAAAATAATTTAAACTTTAATCAGAATAAAAACTTTTATTATTATTAATGACCAGAGATTAAAGTCTCTGCCAAAAAAATGAATTTAAAGAGTTAAAGAAAAAGAGGAAATAAACCCGATCTCTCTTGTTACTCTGTTTTCTCTCAGAATAATCTCTACAACAGTTCGTTTCAAGAGTTTTAAATTCACCTGAAAATAATCTCTCATACTGAGTCGGTTCATGATGAGAAAAGTGAAGTGAGACTTTGATATATGCCGTCAGAAATGATGAGAGTTGACACCGTTTTGAAAGTTTTTAATCCTGTTTTGATGGTTTTTGTTGTGATTTCTGCGACATGAAGACGAGAGAATGAAGTCTGAGTTAATTTTCAGATCAGTGATTTTCAGTGGGGTTAGTCAGTATGTGAGTGTCTCTGTGCTGATGTGCATGAGAGGTTTCTTAAAGGGAAGTGAAAGTCCATGAAGAAGAAAATCAACCTTCAACATGAAAGCTGTCCCAGTGTCTGCTGTTTGATTGACAGCTGTGTGCTCCCTGTCCTCTAAGCTGATTGGTGTCTCCTAGGTGATGCCCGTCCCAAACTGACGGTGCTGCCCCCCTCCAAAGACAAGCTGGAGCACGAGCAGGGGAAGGCCACGCTCATGTGCCTGGCCAACAAGGGCTTCCCCTCAGACTGGACTCTGGTCTGGAAGGTGGACGGCAGCAGCAGCAGCAGCTGGGAGGAGACCAGGAGCCCTGCGGTGCTGGAGAAGGACGGTAAATACACCTGGAGCAGCACCCTGAGGCTCCCTGCAGACCGGTGGAACAAGGTGGTCTCTGTGACCTGTGAGGCCATCCGGGGCTCCCAGACTCCGGTCTCACAGACCCTGAGGAGAGACCAGTGTTCCCAGTAGTGATCTGATTCACTGGGACCCTGATTCAGTTTTTCCTCTCTTCCTGCTCTCAGTCTAAACTCTCTCTCTCTCTTTCTCTCTCTCTTCGTCTCTTCTCAAACATGTTTTTGCTTTTTCTCTCTTTGATCGTTTCAGAAGTTTAACTCAATAAAAACATTACATTAAAGTCAGCTCTGTGTGGTTTTCCTCCTCATTTATTTCATTATTAAATTATTAGTCAGACATGATCCCAAAAGAAGAACAAAAATATCATTTACTTTAGTTTTTCAGACCTTATTAAAACGTAAATGTGGTTCATGGTTGGTCCAGGTTAAAAGAAATAAAAAAACACTCCATAAGCTAACTGTAAATCCAGTATGATTTCATTCAACAATAGAAACCAGCCGATAATCTCACTGAAGTCTGCTGGTGATGTTTCATCTGTTGTGAGCTCTTAAAACTGAGAGAAAAAGTGATGATAGTTCAGATCTTTGAGCTTTGTCACACTTTTAGGTCAACAAAGAAGAGCGGGATATCATCAGCGTACGGTGATATCATGTGTTTACAATGGAAGATTAGAGTTCAGTGAGTTTAATGGAAAATAATGAAGAGAATAAAACATACCAGAGAAAAACGGTCTACTTATAATTCAAGAAAAACTCCTGTGAAGTGTTGCTGCAGATCCGTCACACAAACAGAGCGAGGTTTGATATCAGTCAGATCAGGAGTGTTTGTGACTTTAGGTGATGAGTTGACGGTACAGCTCAGAGCTGATCCTCCTGACTGTGCAACAGTGGAGTTATAACCAGAAAAATGAGTGTATTTAGTTAAAGGAGGAGGTGATGAGGATCAGTCATTTGTGTAATATAACTGTGTGTTTGAATAAGTATAAGTTTTACTTTATTTTCAACCTTCAAAAGGTGATTGATACCATTAACTATGACATACTAATCAATAAACAGGAACAGTATGGGATCAGAATGTGGCCTTGGATTGGTTAAGGAGCTCCTTTAGTGACAGAAACAGTTTGTGAAACGTCAGGATTTTTGTTCCCTGTGTTTGAATATTTCAGAAGGTGTACCCCAGGGGTCAGTATTGGGCCCTGTGAGGGAGCTGGAAAACCCTCCCCTCACTGAGGTGAAGTCGGTACAATATCTGACTATTCATGGACATGGTTTTTGTTTATTTTATTGTGTAAAACACTGCTAACCTCTCCTCTCTTCGAGGTCACCATCTTGTGGGGGCGTGTCCACATGGAGTGCACACATGGGGATGCAGCAAACAGGTCCCAGCAGTAGCAAATCAGCTTGTTAGGCTGGGTTAGTGAGCAGAGAAAGGGGGAGGGGTAGAGTTATTTAGTGGGATTTAGCTTTAGTTTGGTCTGTTTCGGGTTATTTAGCTATTTTGGGTTAATTTATATTCATTTATGTTCTTCCTATTAAGTATTAGGGCCATTGTATATCCGGATTAAGTCATGCAGGTGAGAGAAAGAGGGAGGGGGGAGCAGGTGAGAGAGCCCCACTCAGCTTAAAAGTGGACACACCTGTGTGAGTGTGGAAAGGTGTGGGTGGCTTTCTGCAGCCTGCTGCTCAAAGGATGATCATTGTTAAGACTGCTGTGTGTGATAAATTGGATTTATTAAAAAATATCAGAGCTCTGAAACCTGCTGTCGGACACCATCCTTTTTTCCTCATGCTGGAGATCTTCACTACCGCTTGGTTCCATTCCGTTTAGAGGTTTTATGACCATCAAAACCTTACATGTGGTGTCAGAAGTGGGATGTGACGCAATCAGAGTGAAGAGTTTCAGCTTTGAGGACAGACAGCATGGGACCAAAAGCTCAAGCCAAAACTCCAAGGGGAGAAGCTGTTGAGGATTGCCCGGATGAGGGTGCAGCAGGAGAGTCCAGAATCCTGAGGCCAAGGGAGGCGCACCAGGGGCCTCCAGAAATGGATTCCATGTACAGCATGTTGCAGCAATGTCTTCACTTTCAGCATGACCTGAGTGAAAGGTGGGAAAAAGAGACAATTAAACAGGACAAGAGGTGGCGCCAAATGCAGATACAAGTCAACAGCATCAGAGATGAACTGGAGCAGCAGCAGAGGGGAGAAAGCTATCCTCAGCAGAGCATGCCAGGGGCACAGCACGAGGTGGAGGAGCAGGGGGCCCAACCCAGCACCCGCAGTGAGTCAAGGGGTAGGAGCTGGGGGCAGGCAGCAATTCCTCGGCTGGAGGAAGGGGACGATATTGAGCAGTACCTGACCACCGTTGAGCGCCTTGCAGTGGCCTACCAGTGGCCTACCAGTGGCCAGAGGATGAGTGGGTCATATGGTTGGTTCCTCATCTGACTGGTAAGGCTCGAGCAGCTTATGTGGCCATGGCTGCAGAGGACACATTGGACTATAAGAGGGTCAAAGAAGCCATCCTTGCCAAGTATGAAATCAACGAGGACATCTATCGGCAGAGGTTTAGAGAACCAGACATCCGACCAAATGAGAGCCCAAAAGAGTTCTACAATCGACTTAAAGACCTCTACAACAAATGGATCCAGCCTGAGAAGAGGACAAAGGACCAGGTGGGAGAGATCTTCATTCTGGAGCAGTTCTACCGTTCCCTTTCCATGGAGCTGAGAGTGTGGGTGAAGGAAAGAGATCCAAAGACTGCACGAGAGGCAGCTCAGCAGGTGGAAACCTTCCTTACCGCTCGACGGGGGTACAAGAACTACAGATTCGAGTCTCCAAAAAAGTCCAGCCCGGTACGGGGTAAGCCATGCGGGTCCGGGGTTGGTAGTGGTCCTAAGGAAATAGAACCAGTTAGACCTGTAGAGAAGCCTGTAGCTAATTTTAAACCAAGGTCAACTGCTAAGCCTGTATGCTTTTATTGTGGTCAGGAAGGTCACATTAAACCAGAATGCCCAGCTAGAAAAGCTAAAGCTGCTTATTTCTGCACTGTCCCTCGCCCTAATCAGAATGAGAAGGGCATAGTAGGAAAACAGCAGGTCACCACTGTTAAAATTAATGGTAAACCAGCAAATGCTCTACTTGATACTGGCAGCACCCAGACTTTGATCCATCCTTCATTAGTTGCAAAGGAAATTGTCTTAGGAAAGCCAGAACTTGATATATCTTGTGTACATGGACATTGTAAAACTTACCCAACCACAGAGGTGTATCTGGAGGTAGCAGGGCAAACTTACATAGTGTCAGTGGGGGTGATAGAGAGCTTAGCTCATCAGGTCATTTTGGGGCAGGACATTCCAATCCTTCAGGAGTTGGTTCGGGGATGTAGACCAGTTAACATAGTTACTAGGTCACAGAGACAGACTCAGGCTTTGGAGGAGAAGCAAGTGAATGGGAACCAGCCAGAACTAGATGTAAAGGTTCAAGGAGTAGAGGAGCAAGTCCCCCAGCCAACATTGCAGAGTGAGACAGATGCATCACAGCAGGGGATAGGAGGAGTCCTTCTACAAGGAGATGGAGAGGGGAGGAAACCAGTGGCCTACATCAGCAGGAAGCTTTTTCCCCGGGAGACCAGATACTCGGCGGTGGAGCTGGAGTGTTTGGCCATTAAGTGGGCCATCGACACCTTCAAATACTACCTGATGGGAAGAGAGTTCAAGCTGGAAACCGACCACCAAGCACTGCAATGGCTGGAGAAGATGAGGGACACCAACAGTCGCATCACCAGGTGGTTTCTGTCCCTGCAACCGTATCGGTTCTCCATCCACTACATGCCAGGGAAACAGAACACAGTGGCAGACTTCTTGTCTCGCAACCAGGTTGGCGAGCCTGCCGGAGGGGAGGAGAAGTGTGAGGGAGCTGGAAAACCCTCCCCTCACTGAGGTGAAGTCGGTACAATATCTGACTATTCATGGACATGGTTTTTGTTTATTTTATTGTGTTAAACACTGCTAACCTCTCCTCTCTTCGAGGTCACCATCTTGTGGGGGTGTGTCCGCATGGAGTGCACACATGGGGATGCAGCAAACAGGTCCCAGCAGTAGCAAATCAGCTTGTTAGGCTGGGTTAGTGAGCAGAGAAAGGGGGAGGGGTAGAGTTATTTAGTGGGATTTAGCTTTAGTTTGGTCTGTTTCGGGTTATTTAGCTATTTTGGGTTAATTTATATTCATTTATGTTCTTCCTATTAAGTATTAGGGCCATTGTATATCCGGATTAAGTTGTTAGAGGTCAGATCTTTACATACCTATCACTGTCATGCAGGTGAGAGAAAGAGGGAGGGGGGAGCAGGTGAGAGAGCCCCACTCAGCTTAAAAGTGGACACACCTGTGTGAGTGTGGAAAGGTGTGGGTGGCTTTCTGCAGCCTGCTGCTCAAAGGATGATCATTAAGACTGCTGTGTGTGATAAATTTGATTTATTAAAAAATATCAGAGTTCTGAAACCTGCTGTCGGACACCATCCTTTTTTCCTCATGCTGGAGATCTTCACTACCGCTTGGTTCCATTCCGTTTAGAGGTTTTATGACCATCAAAACCTTACAGGCCCTTAATGGATTATTCTGTATGTAAAAGACATCTGCAAAGAATCACTTTGTTTTCCATTATTGTTTATGGATGGGTGGATGTACATAAGGTCTTCACTTTTGTCATTACATGTTCCAGTATCAATCAATCAATCAATCAATCATCTAAAACACTAAGGTCATCTGAGTCCAGGCTTCTTTTTACCTCAGGGTTGGATACTGACTGTAAATTATCTGTTTATTGGTGTTTTTCTGTGTTTCACTTCAGTTTAGTCATTCATTGTTTGTTCTTGTTTTTATGATCACTCTTTGTTTTTCACTTTTTTCATCTTTTTTGAACTTTTCAAAGTTTTTAAATCTTTTGTTAAAGTCTGGAGTTACTTTTGGAGATTATTTTGAAAAACAAATCAGTCATATTTACTGATCTGTCTAAACTCTTTTTGGAAGAACATTTATTGCAGCAGGAGTGATATTTTAGATGATAGTTTTGAAATGGGAGATAACGTTATAGTGTATCTAAAAGTAGACCTAAAGTTTATCATGTAATTTACGTAAATTATAAAGTTTTTCATCCTGTCTGATCTGATTCACTGAAGTGTGTCAGTCTCTGTAGAAACTTCCAGCTGCAGCCGTCAGTTCAGTTTCAGTTCAGTCTGACTAAGGAGGTTTTTGTACGACGCTTTTTCACTGTGTGAACACACCTCCATTGTGATAACTCTGACAGTAGTAAACTGCTGCATCTTCAGTCTGGACTCCACTGATGGTCAGAGTGAAACTAGATCCAGATCCACTGCCTGAAAAACGACTTGATATCCCTGATACTCGAGTGCTAGCAAGATAAATGAGCAGTTTAGGAGTTTCTCCATCCTTCTGTTGGTACCAGGCTAAGAGGTGATAGGCACCATTATAGAACACATTCTGACTGGTCCTACATGAGATGGTGACGGTTCCTCCCGGAGCAGAGGTCACAGCTGCAGGCTGAGTCACTGTGATCTTTCCTCTGGACTCTGAGGATACAGAGACAAACACAGAAAGCAGCGTCATGGTTTTGTGGGCTTCATTTCAGAGGGACGGATGTTCATAGAGGAGAGGAGTTGGATTCTCTGGACTTTACCTGTGAAGCAGCAGCAGAGGAGAGTCCAGATGAGGACGCAGATCACAGTCATGTTTCTGATCAGGAGGAGGAGGAGGAGGATTTCTGTGTCTTCTGTTGTGATGAAGGACAGCTGTCAGTCATCCAGTCTTCAACTCTCAGGACTATAAAGTCTCCCAGAGCACTGGAGCATGCTGCTGCTCATGCAAACTCACTCTCTATGGAAATGCTCAGATTAACTCCAACAGGGACTTAGATTATAGACATGATGATGATGATGATGATGATGATGATGATGATCAATAATTGATCAATCAATTCATCTCCTGATTGATCAAACAGCTTTCCTGACTTGTATCATGAAGGTTTAGGTTTGTTCTTCTTCATCCATCTATTTGGAGAGATTTCTTCAGTCTTAGCCCGATGCTGAGGACAATGAATGTCAACTATTCAGTAAATCAATAAAGATCTTCAAAAACTGGATTCATTTAAATGGACTACATTGAATTCTCTGCTTTCATTGGAGCTCAAAGCTCTTGCAGACAGAGACACATTTAGGTGACTTTGTTTGTGTCAGAGTCAGAGAGCCGTGTCTCTCTGCAGTCAGAGGTTTTTGTACGGCGCCTCAATGACTTTGTATCACTGTGGTACACGTTCGGTGGAGGAACCAGACTGGATGTTGGAAGTAAGTCAAATATAAAGTCTTTTTCTTTGTTTCTGAAGCTTTTTTACTTTTCATTTAAATCTGTAGGACAAAAGTCACTTTGCTTTTTTATTTTAAACTGATTTTTTAAGAAAACAGAAAAATGTCACTTTGGATTGAAGAGGTACTGAAGAAAAAGTCATTTCAGATTTTGAAGTGGGGCTCATCTTTTCCTACAAATTTACTATTTAATCTTCAGACTTGAGTGAACAAAGTTGGATCCTGAGGGCTGGTAGGTTTAGTTCAGTCAGAGTCAGAGAGCCGTGTCTCTCTACAGTCAGAGGTTTTTGTACGGCGCCTCAATGACTTTGTATCACTGTGGTGGACTTTTGGTGGAGGAACCAGACTGGATGTTAACTGTAAGTCCACTTTTGATCCTTTTTATAATATTAGTCACTTATTTTTCCTTCGTAGACGTTACTGATGGAAACTAATGTGATCATTTTCTTTTGCGATGCATGTTTTTAGAAAGAGTGTAAAAAAAGTGGAGCTGATAGGATTGAGGTTTTAGAAGAAGACAGAATCTCTTCAGACTGATTGAATAAATCCGAGCAGAATGATCCTTTTCAGATCAGGATGGTTTTTGACTCTCATGGAGGAGCTGATCCATCGAGTTCAGTCCGAGTCTCTCTACAGTCAGACTTTTGGAGGAGCTCAACTTGAAGTCTTGTGCTCTTTTTCACACCATCAAATCTTCATCTTACACTTTGTTGGTCGCAGCAAAGAGTTTCCCGCTTCAGGTTTTATCTTTAGGAGTGAAACCTGTCTGTCGCTACGGTTGGGCGGTGATGGCTGTCCGTTGCCGTGGTTACTGAGATGAGAGAGGGAAGTGAAAGACAGCAGTTTGAGGCCATGTGAGGACGAGCGTCAGAGCAGAGTTTTGTTTTCCTGACTGAGTGAACTTTCTTCATGTGGTCTCTCTGTGTGCTCTCTCAGTGGGTCGAGTGGTCCCCACCCTGACGGTGCTGCCCCCCTCCAAAGAGGAGCTGCAGAAACAGGGCAAGGCCACGCTCATGTGCCTGGCCAACAAGGGCTACCCCTCAGACTGGACTCTGACCTGGAAGGTGGACGGCAGAAGCAGCAGCAGCGGGCAGGAGAGCAGGAGCCCCGGGGGGCTGCAGAAGGACGGCCACTACAGCTGGAGCAGCACCCTGAGGCTCTCTGCAGACCAGTGGAACAAGGTGGTCTCTGTGACCTGTGAGGCCACCCAGGGCTCCCAGACTCCGCTCTCACAGACCCTGAGGAGAGACGAGTGTTCCCAGTCCTGACTCACTGGGACTCTGCTCCTGCTTTAAGTCTGATCCTGCTCTCACTCTGCTTCTCTCTCTCTCTCTCTCTCTCTCTCTCTCTCTCTCTCTCTCTCTCTGAGTTCACAGCTTTCAGCACAAACATTCAGCAGCTTCTTGTTTTCTTGAATTTTCACAATAAAAGTTTCTTGATCAATTCAGTTTTTCTGTTTTTCTTATTTTATCAGGATGAATGTTTGTGACTTTATTTCATCATGATGGTGTCAGTGACTGCAGGAAATTCACTGAACAGATCAGCTGACTGTGACCGTGAAATTTATCCAACTGAGAAAATTAAAAACTCACTTTGATTCAACTCACACTTTTCAAAATAAAAGCCTTGCTTTCTTTGCCGTTTATTCACAGAATAAAAATCTTCATCAAATCAACGAGTCAGTCTCATTTTTCATCTTTAATGTTTCAAGTCTTTACAGACTCCTTCAGACAGAAACAAACAAAGAAAAACTGAGTTTGTCTCATTTAGGATGAGCTGAGAAAAAGAAGAATTTAGTGTCGATGAGAAAATATGAGCTGAAAGAAAACTTTGAAATGTTCTTTTATTCTCAGTCCATTAAGTTCAACTCATAATCAATATGAAGTGAAAATTTCTCCAAAAACACAAGAGAGAAAAACTGGTGAAAACAAAGACTGAAAATCATCCAATCAGCTTTGAGTATTGAGCGGCATCCATGACGAGGACTCTTATATTGTCAGTGTTCTGATTGTAAAAAATCACTTTTCATGGAGCTGTTATTGTCTGATGATGATGAGGATGATGATGATGATGATGATGATGATGATGCCAATGACTTCAATAAAAGCTGATATCATCAGCATAGAGAGAAATCAAATCACTGCTACTGCACTTTCAACAAATATTCCTGTTTTAGATTTAGAGAATATCATCCAATTATGACTCTGAATAACACTATCATGTACAATAGTATTACAATAATAAACAATAATATTTCAGTTGGACCATATGGATCCATATTTCTGTTTTTAATCTTCATCTTTGACTTAAATTTATCTGAAATAATGACTTTATCAAGGCAATGAAACAAAAGATTTTCAAGGATTTGACTGAAGTAAAATGTCAAATACTTGAAATATTTGGACCTTTCTCTTTAGATCTGAAAGAAGATTCAATCAATAAACAATATTCATCATGTGTCATATTATATGGTAGTGTTTGGATGAAAATCTGATTAAAAAAGGACAATTATTCTGAATGATTGGATTATGAACAGAAGACAGAGGAGGATTTGGGCTGATTTTGAGAATCTCAGATATTTGTCAATGAATTCAAGGAATTACTGCAGCTTTTAGTCACATTTAAACTACAAATACAAAGATGTTATATATTTAAAATAGACCTGAAGATTTCTTCAAAGTTTAACCTTCTCAGTTCATCTTCATTGGAGACACAGAGCTTTGAAAGCAGTGATCTGTGCTCTACAAGCAGATGTTCAGTCAGATCAGTTCCTCTTTAACTGAGGAGGTTTTTGTACGACACTTTTTCACTGTGTGAACGGGGTGCTCCAACCCTGCTGACAGTAATAAACTCCTGAATCTTCAGCCTGGACTCCACTGATGGTCAGAGTGTAGTCTGATCTGGATCCAGATCCACTGAAACGATCTGGAACTCCAGACTCACGGTTTGTAGCTCTATAAATCAGGAGTTTAGGAGCTTCTCCAGGTTTCTGAAGGTACCAGTGGAGATTGCTACTAACAGATGAACTGGTCCGACATTTGATGGAGACGGTCCCTCCTGGAACCACAGACTGAGACCCAGGAGTCTGAGTCAGGAGGATTTGTCCTGATGAAGCTGGAAAAGATAAAAAAAGGAGAAGGTTATGGAGACAAATCCAGCTTAGAGAAAGATGAACACCATCCAAACACAAGAGTCTCATTTCTTTAAGATGGAGAGAGAAGATGGAAGAAGGTCAATGCTGCTTCTTCAAGTTGTTCTCCATCAGAGCAGAACTTCATTGTGGTCAACCTGGTCTCACCCTGAACAAGGAGCCCCAGGGTGAGCAGAAGCTGGATCAGGGACATCATTATTGTGCTGCTGCTGTGTCGCTGTCTCTGAAAGGTCTGGAAAGGGGATCAACACGGTCCTCTTAACCTCTGAGAGCAGAGAGGAAGGACAGATATGCAAACACACACACACACACACACACACACACACACACACACACACACACACACACACACACACACACTCAAACTGGGAAACAATCTACAATGACAACATGAATATTACACTGTCCAATAAAAGTACAAAACAACAACAACAACAAAAAGCTAAAATATAAGTTTTACTTTATTTTCAACCTTCCAAAGGTGATTGATACCATTAACTATGACATACTAATCAATAAACTGGAACAGTATGGGATCAGAATGTGGCCTTGAATTGGTTAAGGAGCTCCTTTAGTGACAGAAACAGTTTGTGAAACGTCAGGATTTTTGTTCCCTGTGTTTGAATATTTCAGACGGTGTACCCCAGGGGTCAGTATTGGGCCCTTAATGGATTATTCTGTATGTAAAAGACATCTGCAAAGAATCACTTTGGTTAAATCCATTATTGTTTATGGATGGATGGATGGATGGATATACATACATAAGGTCTTCACTTTTGTCATTACATGTTCCAGTATCAATTAATCAATCAATCAATCAATCAATCAATCAATCAATCATCTAAAACACTAAGGTCATCTGAGTCCAGGCTTCTTTTTACCTCAGGGTTGGATACTGACTGTAAATTATCTGTTTATTGGTGTTTTTCTGTGTTTCACTTCAGTTTAGTCATTCATTGTTTGTTCTTGTTTTTATGATCACTCTTTGTTTTTCACTTTTTTCATCTTTTTTGAACTTTTCAAAGTTTTTAAATAGTTTGTTAAAGTCTGGAGTTACTTTTGGAGATTATTTTGAAAAACAAATCAGTCATATTTACTGATCTGTCTGAACTCTTTTTGTAAGAACATTCAATGCAGCAGGAGTGATATTTTAGATGATAGTTTTGAAACGAGAGATAACGTTATAGTGTATCTAAAAGTAGACCTAAAGTTTATCGTGTAATTTACTTAAATTGGAAAGTTTTTCATCCTGTCTGAGCTGATTCACTGAAGTGTGTCAGTCTCTGTAGAAACTTGCAGCTGCAGCTGTCAGTTCAGTTTCAGTTCAGTCTGACTGAGGGAGGTTTTTGTACGACGCTTTTTCACTGTGTGAACACACCTCCGCTGTGATAACTCTGACAGTAGTAAACTGCTGCATCTTCAGTCTGGACTCCACTGATGGTCAGAGTGAAACTAGATCCAGATCCACTGCCTGAAAAACGACTTGATATCCCTGATACTCGAGTGCTAGCACGATAAATGAGCAGTTTAGGAGCTTCTCCATCCTTCTGTTGGTACCAGGATAAAAGGTAGTAGGTACCAGTATAGCCCACAGTCTGACTGGTCCTACATGAGATGGTGACGGTTCCTCCTGGAGCAGAGGTCACAGCTGCAGGCTGAGTCACTGTGATCTGTCCTCTGGACTCTGAGGATACAGAGACAAACACAGAAAGCAGCGTCATGGTTTTGTGGGCTTCATTTCAGAGGGACGGATGTTCATAGAGGAGAGGAGTTGGATTCTCTGGACTTTACCTGTGAAGCAGCAGCAGAGGAGAGTCCAGATGAGGACGCAGATCACAGTCATGTTTCTGATCAGGAGGAGGAGGAGGATTTCTGTGTCTTCTGTTGTGATGAAGGACAGCTGTCAGTCATCCAGTCTTCAACTCTCAGGACTATAAAGTCTCCCAGAGCACTGGAGCATGCTGCTGCTCATGCAAACTCACTCTCTATGGAAATGACTCCTATCATCAGATCAATAAACTTCTTTTGTCATTAAGCTCATTGATTAAAAAGAGTTTCATTGCCACAACACCTGCTTACTTACAATGGGACCTCAGTTTACAACATCAGTTCATATGTCTCAGTTGAAAACGTTCATTCTGTGGGTTAATTGGACTGAATTATTATCCAAGTTAACTGGACAAACTTTAGAATAAATCCAGGAACTTTTTTGAATTTGATAATAACTTTTTTAAAGGTTTTCAGCCTGAAGTAATTCTTTAAAAAAGCTCCAAACTTTTTCACAACAATATGTCGGCTAATTGTTTTTCTTTGAAAGTTTTATTTTATTTTTACAAAGTGTATAAAATTAAAAACCTTAAATCTTTATTATTTTTTCATGGTTTATCAGAGGTACTAAGGACTTCTTTTATAGCACTGAAACATGTCTGTAGTCATGGTTAAGCAGCGATGCCTGTCTGTTGCCATGGTTACTGGAGTAAGAGGGAAGTGAAAGAGCTGAGATCAGTTTCATCTTCTCAACTGTAGTCAGCTGTAGCGACCTCTTGTGCTGAAGTTTATTGAAGCTCTTTCTTCATCTCTCTCTCTGTAGTGGATCAGGTGACCCTCAGACTGATGGAGATGGTCCACTCCAGAAACTACGGCCTTCATAGACAGGAGCTCTCTCTCCTCTAAAAACACCTTTGGACTAAACTTGTGTCCTCTTTCAGCTCTCCTTCTTTCCTGAACATAACAAGACACAACACCTGCAGCAGAGTTGATGAGTGCATTTGTCCATTCATAGGAGTCATTTCCATAGAGAGTGAGTTTGCATGAGCAGCAGCATGCTCCAGTGCTCTGGGAGACTTTATAGTCCTGAGAGTTGAAGACTGGATGACTGACAGCTGTCCTTCATCACAACAGAAGACACAGAAATCCTCCTCCTCCTCCTGATCAGAAACATGACTGTGATCTGCGTCCTCATCTGGACTCTCCTCTGCTGCTGCTTCACAGGTAAAGTCCAGAGAATCCAACTCCTCTCCTCTATGAACATCCGTCCCTCTGAAATGAAGCCCACAAAACCATGACGCTGCTTTCTGTGTTTGTCTCTGTATCCTCAGAGTCCAGAGGACAGGTCAC